CATACAACAAACTTCAACTATACATTAGATATCAAAACAATTGGTGTCAAACATAATTTAACTTTCTCACCACAACTTTTATATAACATAGGTCAGCAAGTTTATAAATACAACATCACATATTTCACCTAACATATCCATTAACAATTTACTTCTACACAACTATAATGAATTACAATTAATACAACTTTTTTCTAACATGTGGCATATGTTGCCATAACAAATACATCTAACATAATTCTAGTTTAAATTAGACATGCAAACAATTGGTGGCAAACATAATTTGACCTTCACATCACAACTTTTTTATAACATATGCCAATAGTTTCATAAATATAACATCACATCTTTCACCTAACATATTTACATAAAATTTACTTTTATACTACTATAATGTTTTACCATTCATGCAACCATTTCCTAACATGTGCCATATGTTAACAGATCAAATTCATATAACAAACTTCAACTGTACATTAGATATCAAAACAATTGGTGTCAAACATAATTTGACTTTTTTACCACAACTTTTATATAACATATGTCAACAAGTTCATAAATACAACATCACATATGTGACCTAATATATCCATTAAAAATTTACTTAGACACTACTCTAATGTATTACCATTAATGCAACTTTTTTTTAACATGTGACATATGTTGCTATAACAAATACATCTAACATAATTCAAGTTTAAATTAGATATGCAAATAATTGCTGGCAAACATAATTTTACCTTCACAGCACAACTTTTTTATAACATATGTCAACAGTTTTATAAATACAATATCACATCTTTCACCTAACATATCCACATAAAATTTACTTCTACACTACTATAATGTTTTACCATTCATGCAACCATTTCCTAACATGTGCCATATGTTAACAGATGAAATACATCTCAAATACGGCAACTGTACACTAGATATTAACACAATTGGTGGCAAACCTAACATATGCACATATAATTGAATTCTACACTACTATATGCATTACTATTAATGCAACCATTTTATAACATATAGCATATGTTGGTAGATCAAATACATCTAACATACTTCAACTGTACACTTCATATGAAAACAATTGGTACAATACATATTTTGACCTTCACAGCACAACTTTTCTATAACATATGTAAACAATTTTATAAATACAACATCACATCTTTCGATATTCGGGATATACAAAAACTATTCTACAATTATATTCAAATTGCAAAAGAAATAAAGTTTAGGATTGAATAAGGCTAAAATAGATAAATATGGATATAACATTGGCACAAGAACAAGCTTAAAAATGGTATATGCATATACAATCCTAAACTTTTATTATAACTGATGACTAATAGAGTTCATTCACAAATAAAGTTATTTCACGAACGCTAAAACAGATAAATATGGACATATCATAGGCACAAGAACAAGATTCAAAATCTGGTATATGCATATACAATCGTAAAAATTTTTTGTTCACTGATGACTAATAGGGTTCATTCAGAAATAGAGAACAAGGTTAAAACAGATAAATAACGTACAAGAACAAGCTTTCCAATTCTCGGGTGTAATACCCCTAATTTTAAAAGAATAGTTTCGACATTTTAATTATTATTTTATTGCATTTTTGTTTGATTATTTGCTTAATTGTTTAATTATTTTAGTATTTATTTGATTTAATTGTTTAGTTGTGTATTTAATTGCATTATTTGGTTAATTGGTTATTTAATTGAATTAATTGGTAAATTATTTTATTTAATTGATTATTTAATTTATTTGATTTATTTACATTTATGCTTAGGTGGATTTTAAACATGAATTTAACGTAATGAATAGATTAGGGTTTTATTCTTTTATGAAATCACGTTGTGGCCGACTAGGATTTAATTAGGTTTTTCGTCTTTAATTATAAATGGACTTAGGCTTTATATTTGCCTATAAATATACTGTTATAAGTCTGCAAAGGGGTTGTAGAACCCTATTCACGTACAGAGATATAGAGAGAAACATAGAGAGAATTGTGAGAAAAATAGAGAGATTTCAGTTAGGGTTTCGGCTGTGGATTAAAGGACAGACCTAGGAGGAGGGAAGGTTGAACAATAGGAGGTTGACAGTGAACGGACGTCGTCAGAAAACTTAGGAAGACGGCGACGAGGTTCTGATTCAAAATCTCACAGGCAAGTTTTATTCTTTCTCTCTCCCCTTGACCTGTGTTTTGTGCATACCTAGATGATCTCTAGGAGTTTAATCGGACAGTAAATGAATCTTGCATGCTTAGTATATGTTAAATTAATCACCTGTATGTGTTTAATGTGATCTGGAATAGTTGTTGCAGATTTGGGTTTCATTGTTTGATCTTAAAGCATAGTAAATCGGTAATTGTTTTAATTGTTCTTTTTAATGCAAACTGCTTGGAATGAATAACTGGGATGATACTGGATATAATTTAGACTCTTAAGTTCAATATTAATGAAGAACAGAAGAGTTGGAAGTGACCAGAGACGAAGCAGAAGGTCATAAACGGTTCAGGGCTCTCAGAGAGGGAGAGAGCCGGCTCCATAGAAGAGGGAGCCGGCTCCCCCAAGTGAAAAGCCAGCTCTGGGGGATTGAGAGCCGGCTCCCACCCCTCTAGAGCCGGCTCCAAGGTGCATGGAGCTGGCTCCATGCTTGATAGAGCCTGCTCTCAAGTTTTGAGAGCAGGCTCTCTTATATCAATGCAATCTAGACTTTTTCTAGGCACGGTTTGGACGAGTTTAGGATTCTGAACTGTTTTGGGAATGTACTGAGGGTTCTAAATACTAGTTTCATGTAGTATTAAAACCTCTTATAGTATAATTTATACTGGTAGGCTAATGGATTGAACAGTATGAAAGTAAACAACTTTGCATGCTGTTAACGGATGGAAGAGATTTAATTGCTTAATTTTAGTTTAGCAATTTAACGGAATATAACATAATTATAAACCTTGTTTTGGATGCACAATAGGATCATTTATTTATCAGACTTGATCTATGCTTACTCTGGATTCTAATTGCTGAGATATTAAACTCTGTTCTGCAATTACATGGATTAATGTTTTGGATTCTAATTGCTGAACTATTAAACTTTGTTCTATCAATTACATGGATTACTGTTTTTGATTTTAATTTCTGAACTATTATATTATGTTCTGTAATTATATGGATGTTATGGATTGTATGCACCGGTATGGGACGGTGGCATACTAGGGATGGATTAGTTCAAAACTCTAAGTCCTACTTTCTTTGGAATAAGGGAATGGATTGTAAAATTGAATCCTACTTATATTTAAGTCAAATCAACTGAGTAAGTTGAGTGACTACCTGGATTAACTATTATTTGTGGTTGAGTCAGATCAACTGAATAAGTTGAGTGACTAACTGGATTAGGAATCTTATGTCAGATCAATGAACAATTGAATGACATACTCTGGCTTTGGACGGACTTTAAATATATGGCTATGGTACCACGGTATGAGCTTAAGTCTCGGGATCGTTGGTTAGGGAGCGTATATGCATTGGGATGCATAGCTGGCTATGACGGTTGAGGTGTACCCTGTTAGGTTTAGGAATTCATGCCCACCTCTAGTGCGTTTTGCATGTTGCCTTCTATTCTGGTTGAGACCCCTTTGTAGTCCAGTGAAAGCCCCTTAGTGTGGATATATATATATATACTTATGGACTAGATAGATATTATTGAGATATTTAGGATGTATCTGCGTATCGGGTCTCTGTTTGGATTGTAATTAGAATAGAACTTGTTCGTGAGCCTGACCCGCTCTTATTTTTCAAGTGTTCGACAATTCCAGCCTTAGAGTTTGATCGTGTTGAGTAGAGACAGTCACTCATTCTTCCGATTACGTAGGATTTCTCTTTATGTTTTAGTTTGGATTTTATTTTCAGTTATTTAGTTCCAGTTAGGATTTTGTTTAGGGGTCCACTAATTGGATTCCCGAGTTGTACTCTTGGAGGTTTTGGAAAGTTTGGATTATATTAATTTTTAACGTTTGAGGATTTTATATTAATAATTCTTTCAGCTTTATTATTTATTTCTTAAAGCTTTTTGTATTCCTGCTTGTTTATATATTAATTGTTTGGTATTCCCTCGGGTTTAGGCTTGGGCCTGATCAACCCATGTTTCGGAGTCGAGAGGTATCATATCAGGTTGCCTGAAAATTAAATGAATTCATGCTCATTAGGACTAATAACCCAGCCTTCAGATTTTTGGATTACCAATAATCACTACTGGATTTGATATATCATTATGAATAAAGTTACAAGAAATTCAAAATAACAACCTAATACTTATAATGATCAGAGCTTCAGCTTTTCGCCTGACTGGTTTATCGGAGCTTCAGCTTCTCAGCGGAATGGATGATCGGACCTTCACCTTCTTGCCGGAATGGATGATCGGACCTTCAGCTTCTTGTTGGAAGGGATGATCGGAACTTCAGTTTTATCACCGGAATGTATGGTGATTTTTCCCAATGGAACTTCTGAAGAGGAACATTCTCTTCAAAAATCTTTATCTTTATGTGTCTAATGTCTTGGTTGCCTTCTTTCTCGGTTTCCCTTTCCTTTGAAGTTCAGTTTGGATGTTTGAGAAGAGAGTTGTCGGTTTACAGAGCAGAGGCATATACCTGTATATATATATCAGTATCAGTTTTTGGGGCAAGCTTAATTTTGGTTTTGGGGGGAATTTAAACTCGAAAATCAAATACAGGTACTTCGTATTATATAAAGAAATGGTACAGAAAGGGAAAGGATACACAAAGGGTAGAAGTATTATAAACAAGTATGTACAGAAATGGTATAAGCAAAACTACAGTAACTATCCATTTTACCACCTTTGCCACATCAGCCAAGGGCCCAACACTAGACAGGTTCCAATGAGATGCGAATGGAGGACGATAATTTTGTCTTTTAAGAAATTTGATATTTTTTGTTAAATTCATAAATGACATTTTTTATTTTTTTAAGATAAAAAGATGATATGGGTCTAATTGAAAGTTAAATTAAAATATTATGTATGTGAAATTTGACTTAAAGAGGTGTTAGTGTAATTTATCTTTTATTTTATTATTATTATTATTTATTTTTATTATTATTATTTTTTATACCCTATATTCATTATTCAATACCGTCCCATGCCAATAAATAAATTAGTGCGATCATCAGGTAAAAGTGTAAAAGTATTTTGTTTTTTCAAAATTCAAGGGATTATTCAGTTTAAACCTCTTAAAAATTTTAGGCTTTCTTCGATCTTTAGAGAACCCCCTTGTTCGATTTGACGTTCAGACAACCCTCTTCGGTCTCATGATTCTCATCCTAGTTTATTTATTTATGCAAATACATGTTTTAGGGTTTAGAAATTGCAAAAGGGACAAATTACAGATCTGGAAAGAGCTATTCGTCTGAGTCTGAATCGCTTGAGGGAAATCACACAGGTTCTCTGAACTCTCATGCATGTCTCTCTTCTTCTTCTTCTTCTTCTTCTTCTTCTTTTTCTTTATTTTTTTTATTTTTTATTTTTTATTTTTATTAGAGAGATATATATATATATATAAACACAAACACACACACACACACACACACACACACACAAACTGTTCGTTTATCCCTCTTTCTTTCCTTCTTCTTCTTCTATTTTTTTTCCCTCTTTGTTAGCCTGATTCTTTATAATGCTGTTTATTTTATTTTTCTATAACAGACCCATTGTTTAACATTTAATTTAGTTTAGTTTATTTTGTTTTATAGAGCCAAGTGACTTAGTTAATTTGTTAGCTAAATTACAGCTTTGATTGTGTTTTTTATTTTATTTTTTATTTTTGATAAGTTACAGCTTTGATTGTATTATCAACTCTGATATGTGTGATCTATGATACTTATCAATGTTAAGCTTATCTGGGTATCTGTTAAATTTATTTTAGTTGTTTGATTTGTTAGTTACCAAATAAAAAGCAAATTCAGATGTAACCTGGAGAAAAAACTTAAAAAAAAAAAAAAAAACATTTCCCAAGAAGTTCTTGACTTATATAGTGTGAAAAATTGAATTTTTCTCTAAAGTAAGATAAGTTTTTTGAAATATCCAAAGCAAATGCTAATTTTACTTGCCAAAAAAAAAAAAATGGTATGAAAAGAGATTGCATACTAATGCACCCAAAAAGGTGTAACATTTAATATGCATTTTCTGATGAATTTATTTATGCACCTGTTAATTATCAAGAAAAATGTTGTCAATTCAATGGATTTGTAAATTTTGTAGAAGCTTAAATGGTTTAGTTGAACCCGTGAAGTGTGAATTTTAAATAATTCTAGCTTGTCGGGCTATTTTTGAGATAAAACTTTCTAATGTAGTAGTAATTGGGTAAATTGTGGCATACGTGTTTTCTCAATCCAAAATATGTGACTTTTTGTATGTTTCTGACTTAAATCTGTAGACCTGCAATGGCTACATCAATGTATTTTTTAGTCATGTTGTAGCTTAAGAAGAGTACTAAACCCTTTAGAAACATGAGTATTTTGTAACAGTTTCGTCATGGACTAATATATTTGCCTGTTAAATATAGAACAAGGTGGTTCTTTTTTTAAAAATATCCGTTAAATTGAATTGTAAGTAGTCAATTGGTATAAGTTGTGATTTTAATGTCTATCTGTTGAAACTAATATATTTATCTGTTAATTATACATAGAAATATACTGCTAGCAATGTTGGTCTATATATGAGTCCTTTATATTTTTTAGGTCACCAGCTTGCCTATGCATTGTATACAATTTTTGATTTTGTTATATTAAGAACCAACAATGTCAATATTTCTGACATTTTTTTATTTTTTTATTTTTTCCTTTGGCTGGGCTGAGATGGCAGTGCTTAAGAATTATTTACAATTCCGGGAAATGCTTTACATTGAAACTAACATAGCCTTAGATAAAAAAACACTTGTAGAGTTAAGGTTTTATTAAATTGATGAGAAGATGTAATATTTGGATTTGTATTTGAATTTATCCAATCTGATCCATGTGTATATCTTGATTTCTACAATGTGTTTTTGTATCGGTTAGGGTTTCTAACGTTGATTTGAATTAGTTCTTGGCATTTGAATTGTGCACCAAACCGTAATTTGGGTTGGATTTTGATCCCATCAACTAGTTTTAGCTTAATTTGTGCATGCTTACATATATTGTTTATCATGGCAACACTAATAAGCAATTCCAATTGCACTGTGATACCATCGAGAATTCATGCGTGTGATGTAGAGTTATTATGTAAATTATATACACGAAATTCATTTTCAGCTGAAGGAATCTATTTAATCCCAACTATTGAGTCTGTGCTAGATGTTGTTTTATAGATATATATATTCTTATTAGTGCCTTTTCGCAGAAAATATAGGGAATCATGTTTCTCACCTCATTTTCTCTGCATGCTTTAGTCCTTTTGGTATTACCAACATAAAATTAAATTGTTGCTCTTGCTCGGGCATTTATTCTCTCTGTTGCACATGACCTATTATTATAGATTCACAATCTGGTCCATACTAGGTATAACCATATAACCTCTATTTCTCGCTTAAGCTTTTTCCTTTTTTATTTTTCCCCTAACATACTCTTGTTTTACCACATAGGAAAGATGGACATTCCTCTAGGAAGTGCCATGGCACTGGCAGTGCCCAACATCGACACGCATGGGGGCATGCCCGAACACGTGTCCGACATGGTTAGAAGTGTTCTAAAGTTTGATTTATTTTTTATTTTTTATTTTTTTCTTGGTTGGACACGGCATAAACATGGCTGGGACATGGCATGACATTTGGGACACTCTTAGGACGCAACAAGTGTAAATTCGCAATTATTTTTAAATAAAGTGTAAAGTATATTATGGGGTGAATAGAAAAGGTAACAAAGTTTTAGAAAACAAAAACAACATTGATCCAACTCGAAGTTTCAAATTAGTGATTACATTCATTCCTACTAAAGTTTCTTACATTTTAAAACTAATTGAATATATATGATATCAGTATGATGTCATTCGTTCATTTTCTCTTGATTGAGTTGCCTGAAGTAACTTATCATGTTTAATCTGAATTCTGGCCTCTTTTTGTTCACGTCAGCTTTATTGTTTTGTATTTGTTTCCTTAATTAACCAATGTTTGACTCTAGTTTATTTAACTTAGGCTTGCACTGTGATTCAGTTCAAACCGTGATCAAAGGTCAACAATTTCTGTCCCGGTTCGAGAAACAGTTGGAACTATAAGTATTGGTTCAGTTCACGGTTCAGGGTTTAAAAAATTGATCCAATCCAAACCGATCCATAAAACTATATATAAGCACGCATGGTTTTATTTTATGGTTCTTTATATTGGTTTCTATGGACGTGCACATAGATTATCATGGTTATATATGAACTCTTTCCACCAATGGGCCAATAGCCCAATGGTATAACCTCCCTACCTTAAAGAGTAGGGGAGGGGTTCGAGCCCCGGTGTGGGCAATGTGTGTGAATATATATATATATATATATATATATATATATATATATAAACTCTTTACACATCATGAATCACCCCAAAAATTCATCAAATTGGCATTTCATGGTTCAATCTTTTTCATATCTTCAATGGTAGCACCCTAAATTTTTACAGAATTATAGAATGTCTGAAAAAGTTATAACAAACTTTTTTCACCTTCTTTCCTTTGCATATCTTTCTCTCCAATAAGCAAATGGCAAGCTTTCTTTTTCTTTTTTCTGTGTTTTTCATCCTTTATTTTTTTTGTCTTTTGAAGGTTTAAGATGTATGCTGTAAGTGCTCAAGAAGGTTATTGCCAATACAATAACACAAATTATTGTTTTTTTTTTTTTTCCTAATTGGTACTCACACACACGTCTCTTTTAAGACTTGAACCTCTGACCTCTCTTTGGGAAATAAGAGACTGATACAGCTAGGCCACTGAGCCGTTGGTAAATTATTGTTTTGACATATAGTCTTCAAATGCAAATAATTATGTAAACCTTTGTGTATACTTATCAGTGCACCGTCTTATATAACAGACTCATTTCTATATTCAGCAGAGTTTTAACCAATGTTTTTGCATTTGATTATTTTAACACCAGTTCTGTGTTCTTTCTTTTTCTTTTTCTTTTTTGTTAACCTTTGTTAGGATCCTAATTATTTATGGATGTACCTTTCAATGCTAGCATGCATAGGCTAATTGATTCCCAAAAAAATCTAGTGAGTGCAATATGGAAAAACCAAACTGTTGATTACAAGGTGAAAAATATTGGATTTCATCTTGATTTGGAATTGTCTAATTATTATTGGGGTGTATCCAGAAGCCAAACTCATGTTACATAGTTTGGCTTGGCTCAGTTTATGCCGTTTCAGTATTATTCCAATTTTCATGGAGCCCTTGAGATAAGGTTTGGTTCTGGTTTAGCATCTTAACGGAAGTTACGGAACAAATTGTACAATGTGCACCCTTAATTTAACTTACTACTCTGCTCTCCACTCTTATGTTATTTGTAAGAAAGACATGTTAATTATTAGGGTAAACTACGATGACCCCTCAGGTTTGGCCTAATTACAAGTAGACCAAAGGTTTGCCATTTTTTTGCAAAAACCCCCTTCTGACATATTTGGATACTTTTTTTGGGTGATTTTACCTTTCTACCCTAATAATTTTGTTATTAAAAATAATAAAATATCTAGCTATCTTAAAATACCATTTTGCCTGGTTACAAAAAAAAAAAAAAAAAGTTTTTTTTTACCTTCTTTCCTTCTCTCTCACTCGTCTCCACCTCCCACCATGGCCCCGCACCATCACCGGCACCCCACCCTTTAACCACCATCACTGCCACCCAATTAGACCCACTAAACTCTTAATCGAACTCACGAACCCATCACGAACCTAGTTGAGAAGGATCCAACGGAGATCAGGAACATATTGCTCAAATAAACTTTGGCATATAGGATGGCAGAGCTTCTCCAGCTCGTCAAGGGAGGCGAAGACGACGGGTTGACGACTTATTGTTCCTTGTTGAGGGGTTTGGAGCAGAGGAATACTTTGTGTTTCTCACGACTTCTGCTATTCACACTTCACAGTGAGCTTTATCAACGTAAATCATCGATCGTTTCCCATCTTCTTCTTATTTCTCTCCCTTATCCTTTCACCTTCTCTCAGTCTTGGATTGTGCGATTTTGTTGTAGAAACCCTAGATGATTGAATCACCACCACCACTACAACTCACATCTGCAGATTACCCATCTATTCCTTTTTCCATTTAAAAATGTAATTTATTTAATTTAAGTATTCTAAACAAAAATTGTCAATTTATTATTAATTTTTTTCGAAAAATAAATGAATGTTGTTTGAATTAAATGTAATTAATAGTCTATTAAATGTATTTTGATTATATTTTAATTACATTTTAATAAACCTATTTGCATATAATGTATGTGTGTGTGTATATATAATGTATGTGTGTGTATATATATGATAAACCTATTTGGATTTGCATTTGAGTTTCATTTGGGTTTAATCTCATGCTCAAGTCTCATTTACATATAAGGGGTAATTTGGTCTATTGATGCATGGTTTTTTTGTTATTTCATGACACTATAATTGTAATAAGGTCTTTTACACTTAGTTGATGGGCAATTTGGTCACTTTAACCAATTTTCTTTTTGACAATAATGACGAAATTATGTACGGAGGGGAGGTCTTTGCAAAATGGGCCAAACCTCAGGGGAACACGCTGCCAAAAAAATGCACAAGTTTCATCTACTTGTAATTAGGTCAAACTTCAGGGGACATCATTGTAGTTTACCCTAATTATTAGTATGTTTTTTTTTTTTCCAGCATTTTGAATATCTGGAAAGATAGATAGCACCATTTCTTACTCATATGAATTTCCTTTCTAAAAGGCCCAAGCTTTCTCTCTCTTTTGTGCTGTATTAGGGCTGTCTGTGGGAGCTTATTTGGGAAGGAGCAAATTTGATTTCAGCATAAAAGCACAAGTTAAAATAGTCCTTTACTTGGTGACACAAATGCCTTCACAAAAGATTGAAAGTGGTCACCACGATGTAGTTCATGATGTGGTGATGGATTACTATGGCAAACGTCTTGCCACATCATCTTCCGACAATACCGTTAAGATAATTGGGGTGAACAATTCAGCCTCTCAGCTTCTTGCAACTTTGAGTGGTCACCAAGGACCCGTTTGGCAAGTAGCTTGGGCTCACCCCAAGTTTGGATCCCTCCTTGCTTCCTGTTCTTATGATGGGCGGGTCATAATTTGGAAGGAAGGTAACCAGAATGAGTGGAGCCAAGCCCATACTTTTGATGAGCACAAATTATCAGTAAACTCCATTGCTTGGGCTCCTCAAGAAGTGGGATTCTGTTTGGCTTGCGGATCCTCGGATGGGAATATTTCAATTTTCACTGCAAGATCTGATGGTGGTTGGGATACATCACGAATTGACCAAGCTCATCCAGTTGGTGTTACTTCTGTGTCATGGGCCCCATCTATGGCTCCTGGTGCTCTTGTTGGTTCTGGCATGCTGGATCCTGTTCAGAAGCTTGCATCTGGTGGTTGTGATAATACTGTTAAAGTGTGGAAGCTTCACAATGGAGTTTGGAAGATGGATTGCTTCCCTGCTCTTCAAATGCATACTGATTGGGTTACAGATGTGGCTTGGGCACCGAACTTGGGACTTCCTAAATCTACAATTGCCAGTGCTTCACAGGACGGAAAAGTTATTATATGGACCGTGGTAAAGGAGGGTGATCAATGGGACGGTAAGGTTTTGAAGGATTTTGAGACCCCTGTTTGGAGGGTCTCATGGTCGCTGACTGGAAACATACTGGCGGTGGCTGATGGGAATAACAATGTAACATTATGGAAAGAAGCAGTAGATGGGGAGTGGCAACAGGTGACAACAGTGGATCCGTAAATTTAAAATTTTTGAACTCACTCGAGATTTTTTCAGTCTTATCTTTTAACATAAGTCAGGACCCTTTTCTTCAAGCACTAAGTTAATACAGTTGAGAACTTGTTTCGAACAATATTTCTTTAACATTAAAACTTATTTCTGATATTTGAACTTTAGCTTCTTAGCAGAGGATTAGTGTTTTGCTAGAGAGTACTACTGTTACGGGAATGTTTGAAGTAAACTCGTCAAAATCTGATTTTGGGTTTTGTGTTTTTTTCCAAATGCTCCAAACATGATTTTGATATTTATGCAGTAATATTGTAGAACTCTTCCCCACGGCAATTATTTGAAATTTTTTTGTTAAATGGACTGAATTTGTGCAATTGTATGTTGGTACTGTTGATGGTAGTGATCCGAGAGTAAGTTTATGTCCTGTATTACCTTAAAGCAGCTAAATGCAATTTGGAGAGAGCGCGGTCTGTTTTCTTTATGCATCATGATCTGTAGGATACGAACAGCATGAATGAAGTTATATATATATTTTTATTGGATATGAATAGAATGAATGAAGTCTGTGTCATGTTGTTTGATTTCTGTGCTGTTATTGTGTTAATGTTTCCTATACAATAAAATATTAGCCGCAAAAAATGTGGTAGACTTGCAGTCAGGATTGTACTCCAGTTGGAATCTGATTTTTGCCTACTGAATATTTGACATACATATATATATATATATGGTATGTCATATCATTGATGGGAACATGAAAATTTACTACAAGGTAACTTTGTGACTTTTGGAAAGTATCTTGCCTGACAAATGATTGAGTGTGTGTATATATATAGATATATATAGTATGTTTGATCATTGATGGGAACATGAAAAGTTACTGCAAGGTAACTTTGTGACTTTTGGAAAATATCTCGCCTGACAAATGATTGAGTGTGTGTGTGTATATACGAAAGCTATGACGTGGCATGAGAATCACCATAATTGTTCTTGATTTTTATCAGTTTAAGGTATGTGGTCTCTTGTTTAGTTTCAGTTCATATATGGTAGGAGTAGAATACATTTAATTCATGCAGAAAATAGTTATGAAGAAGCTTGATTCTCTGCTTCTACAATAATTCTTTTTAAACTTTTGATAAATTATGGCTTCTTTTTTCTTTTTTTGCACTGGTTCTCAGGTATTATATAAGGTGTTAGACACAGCCCCATCTACTGGATCAATATAATATTGTCCTTATTGACCAGTTTCTAAGACAATTTACTGAATCCCAGAATTTTAAACAACAATTAGGACATTGACGAAAAATATTTTTTTTCGGAAAAGTTTTTCCTTTTTTTGGTTAAAATATATATTTTTTATTTTTATATTTTGGCCTTTGGTAAAGGCTAAGTGGAGATTGAGATCGAGTCCATTGACAGAACGTGTAAAAGATTTTTAGAGATTTTCAGAGTTTTGAGATTGTGTGGGTTTTAAAAAAGAGGAACATATGGCACATACGCAAAAGTTGATAATGAATCAATGACACATAAAAGGGAATTAATTTTAATACTACTTAATATGTATTTATTTGTTTGTTTTTTTTTATGACAAATGAGCATTATTAGTACTACTTCATATGTATTTATTTGTTTGTTTTTTTATGACAAATGAGCATTATTAGTACTACTTCATATGTATTTATTTGTTTGTTTTTTTATGACAAATGAGCATTATTAGTAGGTATGTCAAATTTTTAAATTTTTTTTTTTAAGGCAAGGAGTGTTATGAGTTAGATTAGTATATGCACAGAATGTCTAGTACGTCAAAATTTCCGAAGGCACTAACCCTCTGGACTATCGAGAGGTACGTCAATTTAAGCTAATAAGTTTGAATTCTATGTATTTTTGCTCACATTTCTAATTTATGGTGAAATTATACACCAAGATTTTTTTCTTTATTTCTTTTTTTAAATGTAGATAAACTATAAAAGCATTATTTTGCTATGTTTACTCCCTAAGTTAACGAACAATCAACTCAATTATTATCAGTAATTTGACAAGCCCCTCAGTCCATTCTATTTGAGCCCTAAATCTCTAGAGTTGATGAACTCTCAAACAGACTCAGAAAGTTAGGGGAATTGTCCAAGGACTGCAAAATATGCATGGACTAAAAAAACTCGTACAATGTTGTACAACAAGGACAATACAAATTATTCACACTCGTACAATGTTGTACAACAAGGACAATACAAATTATTCACACGGTGCTATTACGTGTGGATGATCTGAACCATCTCTTGTTGTGCAACACGGTGCTATTACAGCAGAGAATCCGCGCTCTAGATCTAGATATGTTAGATCTACCCCCCCACCCCCCAACACACACACACACACACACACACACACAACAAACATTTCACTCACTGTAACATGTAAAGTGCCGTGTTGTTAAGTTATGTGTGCGACATATTTAATAAACAAGCCAATAATAACGGAATTGAACTTAATTTTTTTTTCGATGTATTTGCACCCTAAACTTCTACCTGCATCACACGAATTTGTTTAATTTAATTTGAATAAATCAATCCAAAAAGACTACAGTTTAATTTAGTCTGGGAACTGCTAAAATCAAATTGGTTTTATAATCTTCTAAATTGAACCAAATCAAACCGTGCAAACCCTAACATAAACTTGTGTCAATGAAATTGTGAATCACATCTTCATCACCAAGCCAAGGACAAAATCAAATGGGTCCTATCTGATTCATTTTTAATTTTACATCTTAAACAAAGTAAATAAAATAATCATTCAAACCGTGCAAACCCTAACATAAACTTGTGTCAATGAAATTGTGAATCACATCTTCATCACCAAGCCAAGGACAAAATCAAATGGGTCCTATCTGATTCATTTTTAATTTTGCATCTTAAACAAAGTAAATAAAATAATCATGTAATTTAAACATAACCAAGCCTCGTGTGTGTGTATGGTGGTAATTTCAATGAGTGAAAAAAGACAACACAAAAAACGTAGTTGTGGAAGTCTGTGGCATTGGGCCATTTTTGTCTTTTTCTTTGAGCTTTGCGAAGCAGTGACTCTTAGTCGCATATTACACTTCTAAACCTTATTATATATATATATATATATATATATATATATATATTAACCAGCCTTATTATATTATATCAAAATAAGATTTTTGAGTCATTTTAGCAGCCAAATAAACTATATGTTGCAATGGACCTAAAATGAAAAAATATAATTTACTAGGATCAATTAAAATGACAATTCGGACACGAGACTCTTGTCATTTTTTAATTTTTTTTTTATTGGAATTTTTTTTTTTTTTTTTACACACACTCACTTTGTTCCGTTAGAGAATCGAACTCTCACCATCCACTTTGATAGGTAGAAAAAATATCACTAAGACACAAGTCTTTAGTTGAGACTCATGTGTTCACGAAAGGTTGTTTCTTTATTTGAATTCATGATTTACATATCATTTCTTTATTTGAATATATGATTTACAGATTATAAAAGAATTTATAGTTCCGCTAAACTGGACTTTCATAAAAATAAAAATGATAATTTAAGGAGTTAATTACAAATAATATATATATATATATTTTGCATATATTCCTATACTCTCTCTCCTCTCAAGTGCAGATATAATTTTGGAGAGAGAGATATATATATATTTTGCATATATTCCTATACTCTCTCTCCTCTCAAGTGCAGATATAATTTTGGAGAGAGAGAAACCTGGTTTATTGTCAATTAGTCATTCATAAAGGTGTACTAGGTCGGAGATTTCTATGCCACAGTTTCACACTAGCACAATGTCTATTTTACAAGATTGATTTTTACAATGCTGATGACATCTTGAAGAGATTTAAAATAAGTAACAAATATAAGAAACCTAATTAATATTACAATTAAAGTAAATTCAAGTTTTGTTCAATCACTCCTCGGAACATAGCCATGGTGAAAGATTTTGAAAATAAATTACCACAAAGATGTGTTCCGATATAGGACTTGGTGGAGAAATTGTACATAACAAGAAGTAGTGGAAAAATTGGTGTAAGATAATAAATTAAGATTAATTCACAGTTATTCTATAATTATAAGAAATATCTTATGAAAATAGATAATAAGCTACTTCACAATTTTTTATTAATTAAATACATATAGAGGTAGAGATTATAGAGAAATTTAGTTAGAATGAGCAATGATACACATTATGACATCCGACTTATCGAGTGTCTCACATAGTGGTGGGCCATCATTATTTCTGCGAGTCACTGGCATTCGGGTGTCGCAACGTCTTGCATTGTCTGATATAATTTTGCACAAATTTATTGCTCCTAAACTCAAACTTGTATTCCCACACTTGTTAAAGCGTTGGTATTAACTAGTATTAACTTTGAAAATACTTTTACAAATTCACTCAAATCATGGTTCGTCATATCGTCCGATATGCAACCTGTATCGGTCAGTTTACATTAACTTTGTCAGAATTTGTTATACCACTACCGCGACCGTAACTGATATTGCGAAGCATGACTCAAATAACCAAAGGCATAACCAAATCTGACTTAGATGAAAAGAAAATTAAACTTGGTATTCTTGGATTCTCTTCATCCCATAAAAGAAAATCAACCATATTTGGTTAGTGGCATAGCCGAACCATAGAAAGAACAAAGAGGCAGCAACAAGTACTAAAACACACATTCTTTACTCCTCTCATTTGGCATCATTTTCCCAACTTGTGAACACACATTCTTATATAAATCCACAAAATTTGACACATACTTATACAAGCATTAGTAGTTCTTTTCATATCATTAGCTTCACCTAATTGAACTTTGCTATACAGTGTAAGAATGGTGAGGAAAAGAAAGGCAAGTGATAGGGAAGAAGAGAATGGAAACATGGGGTGTCATGATCATGGGATGAATGAGGCTGCATCCATGGCACTGCACGGTGGAGCGCGACGAGCACGTAAACGCTACGTAGGGGTACGCCAACGCCCATCTGGGAGATGGGTGGCGGAGATAAAAGACACCATACAGAAGATAAGAGTGTGGCTAGGCACATTCGACACTGCAGAGGAAGCAGCCAGGGCTTACGACGAGGCAGCTTGCATACTCCGCGGAAGCAACACTCGTACCAATTTCTGGCCCTGTCTGCCGTCTCCTAACTCAACCCCGGCCCTCCCTCCGAAAATTGCCAACCTTCTCCTCCACAGGCTTAAACACAGACACAATGCTTGTGCTAAGCAACAGGTTCAAGAAACAATAGAAGTACTACATGACACACAATATGAGCACTTTCTTGACATGCCTAACAATATCACCACTAATGAAACTAGTGATGGCACTACTAATATCAATGCCATTACATGTAATAGTGATTACATCAATGCAAGTAGTGAGTCTAGTATCATGAGAGAATTTGAATTGGACAGTAAGTTTGCTAGTGTTGATCAGTTGTTGAATATTGGCGAGGGAGAGTGTAAAATAGATTTAGAAGAAGGATACGATTTGGGGACTATTGATTTCCAATTTGTGGATGATATTGGAACTTCTTGTTACTTCTCTCCATTTGAGATTGCAGAGGAGATGGCAGAGCCAATGGAGAAGGAGAGTTACGATGACGAGCCCTCAATGCTCATGGAAGCCATGGAACTCATGAAGTATGAACGCAAGTTCTCAGCTTCTCTTTATGCCTTCAATGGCGTATCAGAGTGTCTAAGGCTGAAACTTGAGTCGGCAAATAATGGTAGGGAAAATGGGAGGTTTGAGGAGCTATCTGACTTCAGTAATAGCTGTAATGAGAGTCGAGAAGAAACGAAAAGGGAAGAAAATGAAGTAGATGTTAAAGTGTTGGTGGAAGAACAATTTGGGAGCCAATTGATCCAACAGACTTCAACAGAAACAGGGTCATCTTCTTCTTCGTCGTCGTCTTATTTTTCTTCTTCGAGCAAGGAAGGCGGTGAATTGGCTCTTTGGAGCTCTCTTGATCTCCCTCCTATCACTATGTTACTTAGTGGATAAAAGGGTCTTGAATTGTTTTCTTCCTGGGATTGAATTTGTTAGTCATCAACAATTTTTTCGACATCTTAGTTAGGATTTATAGTTTTGCATCAAAAAACACAAATGAAATGTTATTGTAGTTAATTTTCTCACTGAACTACACCTCTCTGATTCATGGTTCATGACTGCACCATTGCACACTAATAAAATGTACCATCTGGTTCCAAGGACAAGAAATGGCCCTATTCAAAACCCTTCGAAATTACTTCCCGGAAAAAAAAAGAATTTTTTTTTTTTTGAATAATTATACTTGCCTACTCAAAGGACACCATTCCTAAAGATTGTGATGAATACCATTTGACTTGAACAAAGAAGTAGTCCTTCAAATCTAAGAATGGCCCTTCTCTTTCGAACCCGGTTGGTCCTACTGCAACAAGAACTGTTTCAATGTGACCTCCATTTTTATAAACTGTACTATACTATTCCCTATGACAGTGAACTATTGAAGGTTTACACGTTACGAAAAAGTTTCTTCTCACTCTGTCGCGCTTCAAGCGCCTTATGTTTTACACAAACAGATATGAAGTTCATTACTCGAATTTGAATTCCAAGTTCTCAATGTTCTGACAACTGTTATGGCAATGGTGAGCGACAATTTTATCAGTCAAACGAAACAAATAACATTGTCCCAAAACATATCTATCAAATTCAAGAGAAGCAATATCTATAGAGCTAATGTGTAAACCACTACCAAAGCATATCATTTGATGTCCCCTTGTGACCATAATCTTCGTTGTTTTTTTAAATCCGATTTTATAAATTAGTCAAGATACTTGTTGTGTCCCTTTACAACCATAATCCTCGGTTTTTTCAAAATGGGATTCTGTGAATTTAGTCCAGATACATTCAAGATTCTTTAATCATCTAGGATATCCTTAATTTTGACCGGGAATTCGTCCAATGTCCGTATGACCTACTATCGAAAAACAAAAAACTTTTCAATTCGAAAATGATTTTCACATGTTTCTTTCTCATCAAGGTGCAGATTGTCAAAAGTTCATTCAATTCCATCTACCTTAATCATGAAAATGGAATGATCTTCTTTACTACTTTATCTAGGGAGGGCGAGCCGCCAATATTTTAGGCTTTTTTCGAATACTTTTTTCATCTTAGAACATGCTTTTGTTGAGTGCTGCTGATGATCTTTGCATTTAGTTTAAATCGATATCTATGAACATGATCAACCAGTTAAATTTTCCTATAGTTATATAGAACTTGAGGTTTGTCACAACCATTAACAATAGAAAAAGAAAGAAAGTGAAAATAATGAGAGACACACTTGAGTCAATGTTTTTACACACAATCATCATCCCCACTGAATTTAACTATCTTGGAATTATCATGAATGAACTTTACTAAACAAACTTCATTTTCATGAATGCCAAACACATCACCAACAACAGAATAATTTTATTATCTCAATGTCCATCTTGGTTGTATAAAAGAATGGCAGGAAAATCAAATTCACTTCAAAGTTGAAGTAAAAAAATGTTTCCCTCCTAATCAGGGTAGTATTTTTAGGTTCTATTTTAACCACATTAACAATGGATATTGAATTTTTTTTAAACCCTATTTTCTTATCTGCTTCAAGTATAGCCATTAACAATGATAAAAATAATAATAATAATAATAATAATAAATTAATTAATTAAAAAAAAAACCTTAATGACCAACAAAAAATATAGAAATTTGTATTGTAACTTGGGACTTCGAGACACTCACCAGGTAAAATTTGGCAGGCACAAACTCCTTGACCAGATTGATTCCCAATGTCATTTTGTTTGTTTATTCCTTGATACAATTGAAATTTAAGGATTAGGCATGAAGGGCATACTTAAAGTTGTAGAAAATAGTATGTAGATTGGAAAAAGAGTATTTATGTGACCAACCCTGTTTGTACGAAATAAAGATAAGAATGATGACGATGGGAGTATTTTAGTCATACATTCAAGTGATCTAGGTTTTCTTCCATTGTTAATGTGGAAGGCTTGGTTAGTGTTCTTATTTTGTTCTCATCTATTGATTTATCTTTATGCACACATTAGGGTTCCATCACAAAGCCTCACCCTTGAGCCCCAAGTGACTTACTAGCTACTACAAACTAATCACTAAATTTTTTTCCTAAAAAATAAGAGAAAAACTTTGCTAGTTGGATTAGAAGTAAAGAAGAACATACATATATGTATGCATGTAATGTGTGTGTGTGTTGTATATATTTTTTAGATTAACCTCGAGTGTAAGAGACTTCGTCCCGATTAATTCCTAAGGATCCAGGAAGGGCGTCTCCCCATTCAAGTGATCAAGGTTGTCTTCCATTGTTAATGTGGAAGGCTTGGTTAGTGTTCTTATTTTGTTCTCATCTATTGATTTATCTTTATGCACACATTAGGGTTCCATCACAAAGCCTCACCCTTGAGCCCCAAGTGACTTACTAGCTACTACAAACTAATCACTAAATTTTTTTCCTAAAAAATAAGAGAAAAACTTTGCTAGTTGAAATTTTTTTCCTAAAAAATAAGAGAAAAACTTTGCTAGTTGGACTAGAAGTAAAGAAGAACATACATATATGCATGCATGTAATGTGTGTGTGTGTCGTATATTTTTTTAGATTAACCTCGAGTATAAGAGGCTTCGTCCCAATTAATCCCTAAGGATCCAGGAAGGGCGTCTCCCCATTTTAAGTTGGGTAAGTTGTGAAGTATGACTGTGGAGGCGTAGCCTCAAAAGAAATTTATTCGCACTCAGTGAGAGTTGAATTACCAGGCGAAGTTTGTCACTGGCCAACCCATTGGGATCATTCGTGCTGAACATTGTTTGACCTAAGAAGTTTATTTTGGCAAAATGCAATCAAGCACATGGTGTGTGTGTGTGTGTGTGTGTGTATTGCAACATAAGAAGAAAGTAAAAGCAAGAAAGGGGTAACACCATCATCACAACTTTAAAGGTTGGCTGGTGATTGAGAAGTCTAGAAAGTTTATTCCCAAGTGAGGATTAAACTAACAGCTGCCTAATTTCAATTAGTTCGGTAAACATTTATAGTCTTCCATGGCAGAAGATAAGTTTTAATCTCAAATCTAGGGCACATAGCATCATAATGGTGTCACACGACTCAGTATTCCAGAAATAGACAACTAACACGTTTTGACTAATCTCAAGTTTTTGTCCTTATATGCTGAGAATTAATCCATAAACAAAGATTATTATAAAATGGTTTTATGATGCGGTCCATCAAATGAGTTCAAAACCCTAGGCTTCTTACTAATTGCAATGTCCCGTCACCACATTCCAACAATGTCTTGATGTAAGAAATTATTAGATAGCTCCCAACTAGAAAAATTGAAACAAGATAGAAAATTTCATTTGGTCGTATTCGGGAACTGAGTGGAGTCATAGAGGATTACGACCCTCCCAGCATGGTGGGTCCCACTTGTTCAAATAGAAGAACTCTACAAAAATATAAACATTAATTTGGATTGAATTGAATGATCAAATAGCCTATGATACAAGACCATCTAATAATTTATTTTTCGTAATAATATATAATTCAAAGAAGATAGGGTTGGGATGGATGAAAATAACTTTCAGTGAAATAGTGTGCTATTTACTCTATTTTGAAATGAGTGATTCAGAATTAGCCACGTTATCCATGTTTGAAATGCATAATAAGAAAATATTGAGATGCACAGTAAAAAAATGTTGAGATATACTTTTACTTATAAAAATAGAGGAAATAAATCATTGTGTAATTGGAGGTGATCCTTGTCCGAGTTGGGAGCCCCACCATCGAGAACAATTTTCCAAAATTAAAAAGACCCACCTTCTCAAGTGCATGCACGGGCCACCTTATCCCACTACCATTGATGACATGCCGAGAAAAGATGAGGCAAAAGGGAGGCTAAAAGTGGGAATGGAATATATGGATGTGGGAGGAGATAGGATAGCCGAGGGACAATAAAGAATAGTTTGTGTTTTTTGAGGATGATTGTGATGATATGAAAATAAAAAACTTTGATGAGTTTTAAATATTAGTGTCCTTGTTTTTACGGAAGGATTTTGCTATGATCTTTAATTTCACTCTCATATCATACGCGATGTATTAATTAGTTCGTAATTATTTTTTAAAGGTTCGATATAATTGTACATTTCTATAAATAAACCATTCGGTCTGTTTAGATATTATCCATTCTAAACACTCTCCTATGAATACTCATAATTTTTTTCAAAACACATTCACACAACTAAAAAATGTCTACACATATAATTCTCTACAACTTCTCTCCTCAGGTGAAGTCGAATGTCAAAATGAAGCAGTTCTTAAACTTGTTTCTATCTTCAATTTCAAAACATCAAAATACTGAATTGAAAACTCGGCTGGAGTGGTCTTGGAGTCTAAATTAATTTTTTAATTACTAGAACTATGTGGGTGTCATTAAGCTCAAGCATGTTATTCTCTACACTATATAACTAATACTACTTTGACAATAACTAACACTGTTTTGAGTCTTGACAAACAGTACTTAAACATTATTATTAATAGCTCTCTAATCTATACAAGTTCAGTCCTATCCTTTCATAGCTGGCAACAAATGTGGGCCAACCCCATTTAGGTTCTCTCAAGGCTGACTTATTTTTAATCTGTAAATTGTTGCTTACATTCAAACTTCTATTGACCACCTCATTAACAAATAATTTGAAGTCTAATTTGGTCCCAGTGATGTGCATAAACTATAGATATATATACATATATAATAAACTTACATAGGGATCTTTAATCATTGATGATGACAATGACGATGAACACGATGATTATGCATATTTGATATAAAATAGGAAGAAGAAAAAAACGTTCATAGATCCAATCACTATCAACAAACTTGTAGAGTAATTTGGGGGAAAAAATAATAATACTAAAAATGACTAGTCCATGACTTTTATTATTAAGGTTATAAATGAATCTAATTGTTTATAAATAATTCGGACTCGACTCGTTCAAGACTCATTCGATAAGTAAAGAGTCGAGTTCGAGTTCGTTTTTTAAGTTTTTTTAATAAACGAATCGATTCCAAACAGTATTGAACTCATCTCGTGCAGACTCGTTTATGATACTAAACAAAAATTCTTATAGAGTTCATATATAGTCATGAATTGTAGGCTCGGCCTTGTTTATATTTGTTTTTATTTTTTAATTTTTATGTAATGATTTATTAAACGGGCTTAGCGAGTTTGAAAACAAATTGAACCGTTTTCGAACATTAGTTTAATTTTTTTTTCTTTTTTTTTAAATGACCCGAGCTAGAACTTTTTAAAATTGTGATGAGCCTGAGCAGAACTCATCTTTTTTCGTTCGTCACAATCTCGAGCTGGGCCTATAATAAAAGAGTATGAGCAACCTAAAACTCGGCTTGTTTTTGACCGTGCTGTCACTACAAGGCCCGAAAAGAATTTGATGTATATAACCTTATTTTTGCATTTGGAGAATGGAGGTCCCCAATGGAATTTGGAAGCCTAAAGAATTAAGATGAAAAGAAAAAAGAAAAAAGAAAAAAGAAAAAAGAAAAAAAGAAACTGAAGTCTTTCCCACCTCATTTGACTTTAAAGGACACTCAATGAAAAGAAAGGAAAAGGCTAGGATAGCTTTCTATAACAGAGAGTCAATGGGACATAAAGAGTATTAAAAAAAACCCCCAACACATACTCTCTTGTACACACAGATTGCATAACTCCAAATGGAACATAACATACCCTCATTCAATGAGTGTAGCTTTTCCTTTGGCTCTCTTCTAAGGTAACCCAGGCCCCCACTTTTTCCCCTTTGAATATTTCCACCACCATCAAAACCTCCTCCCTTCATAAAACCCAAACCCTCCCCCTCTCTCTCTCTGCAATAACTAGAGTTTCCACTGATATCAGAAACAGAAAACACTCTCTATCTCTCTCTCTCATGCACACACACACACACACACGCACGCACGCACACACATCTTTTTACTCTCACACTACTGTGTTTCTCTTTCAATTAAGTGATGGAAGATACACAAGAGTCCAATACTAACAGGAAATGCACTCCAAAGACGAGGAGTTTCAGAGAGAGAGCCAACCCTCCTCACAACTATCAATATCACCACCAACTATTGCACTACTCAAATGGGATTGGGTTTTTTAACCACCAAAACCAATACCAAGCTTACCCAGCTCTCCTTCCTCTGCCTCCAATCATTCCTCTCCAACTCACTGTGACTCCACCCCTCCCTCAAAACCAGACCTTCAGGCCAAAAACCAATTTGCAGAAACCTCCATGGAAGCACACAAACCCTCCTCTTGCCACCTCTTCGGATATTCAGCTCCCAAATCCAGCAGTTTTACCAGGTAACATACTCTATTGAAACCCATTTCTTTTCTTTGCTATTTTTCACATATTTATTTGTGTGTGTGTGTGTGTGTTTTTTTTCCGTGTAAGTGCGTTTATTCAAGTTTATATTAGGGATTGGACAGATTGCTTGTTTTATATTCATTGTGCCCACCTATCAAAGTTTGAATCTTTGAAGTGAAGTAGAGACTTGAGCTTTTTAGGATCGTCACAATGAAGTTTTATTTATTGATTATATATTTATTTCCTTTAATTTCTTACTCTTTTTTGGGGGGTAAAAAAATGACTTTTTTGATGTCTAGTGTTATAGTAGATCTCAAGTGAGAGTTGATGATTTCCAATATTGAACTCTTGCTAATACCCTTTTTAAGAATATCAAGATTTTTTTTTTTTTTTAATAAGAATCTCAAGATTGTTATGTTCTTGCTTCTGTAGATGTTAGGCATTATACCACTTTTAGTTCATTAGAACTACATTAGCATCCTAAGCTAGGTGGAGATAAATTTTTGTTACTTATTCTGTTTCAATATCTAATGATTTCTCATATTGTACTCTTGCTAATACCATTTTTAAGAATCTCAAATTTGTTATGTTCTTGCTTCTGTAGAAGTATTATTATTATTATTTGGGTAAACTGCTTCTGTACCACTTTTAGTTCATTAGAACTAGAATCCTAAGCTAGGTGGAGATCAAATGAATTGTTGGTGACTTATTCTGTTTCAATATCTAAGCAGCTTCAGAGAGGATTCAATTGAAAACCAACCCTCCCTTAAGGGGAAAAGATGAAAGGAGGGTCACAAGTGCCACACCACCATCAATATTAGTGGTGGCAAGAAGGCCAGATTGTGGCGGCGTGGAAGGACCAGTTATCGCTCTCCTTGCCAATCATTTTCTAGTCCAATTTGATCCGTCCCAGCGAATTTTCCATTATGATGTTGAAATCTCTCCACATCCTTCCAAGGAAATTGCTCGAACAATTAAGCAAAAACTGTTGGAGAGCAACTTGGTTGAGCTTTCCGGTGCTCTTCCAGCCTACGATGGCCGGAAGAATCTTTATAGCCCTGTTGAATTCCAAAATGATAGGCTCGAAATCTTTATTAGCCTCCCAATCCAATCTAGCAAGCCAGTATTACCATCCGGAGACACCATCCACTCGGAAGAAAAGCCTCAACAACTTAAGCTCTTTCGGGTAAACATCAAACTTGTATCGAAGTTTGATGGGAAGGAATTAAGTAGCTATTTGAGTAAGGAGGTGGATGATGGGATACCCCTTCCTCAGGACTATCTCCATGCTTTGGATGTTGTTTTGCGCGAGAGCCCCACAGAGAAGTGCATACCAGTGGGGCGATCACTATATTCGAGCTCAATGGGAGGGACTAAAGATATTGGAGGTGGAGCTATTGGTTTGAGAGGGTTTTTTCAAAGTCTTAGACCAACTCAACAAGGTCTTGCTCTCAATGTGGATTTCTCTGTGACCGCGTTCCATGAGAGCATTGGTGTTATCCACTACTTGCAAAAGCGTCTTGAGTTTTTGCGCGATCTTTCCCAAAAGAAAACAAGAGGTTTGACAGGTGATGAAAAGAGGGAAGTGGAGAGGGCGTTGAAGAACATCAGGGTCTTTGTTTGCCATAGAGAAACTGTCCAGAGATATCGAGTTTATAGCTTAACTGATGAAGCTACAGATGATCTCTGGTTTCCGGACAGAGATGGAAAGAATTTGAGGCTGGTGAACTACTTCAGGGATCACTATAATTATGATATACAATTCAGGAACTTGCCATGCTTGCAGATTAGTAGGAGCAAACCATGCTACCTTCCTATGGAGCTTTGTGTGATTTGTGAAGGACAGAAGTTTCTTGGGAAGCTCTCAGATGATCAGACAGCGAGGATACTAAAGATGGGTTGCCAAAGACCAAGAGAGCGAAAGGCGATTATTGATGAAGTCATGACCGGACCAGTTGGACCAACAAGGTAGTCACTGAATTTACAAAATACTTGAACTCACTAATATTGCTTGAGCTTCCCTTTTTAAATGTTTCCAAGTGTTTGAAGTTTTCCCCATTTACAGTGGCATTCAGGAAAGAGAATTCAACCTCCATGTTTCAAAGGAAATGACGCGATTAAATGGGAGAATTCTTCAACCGCCAAAGCTTAAGCTTGGCAATGGTGGGCATGTAAGAAATCTAACTCCTTCCCGTCAAGACCGCCAATGGAACCTTCTGGACAGCCATGTCTTTGAAGGGACTCGAATTGAGAGATGGGCACTAATAAGTTTTGGCGGCACCATTGACCAGAAGTCTGACATTCCAAGATTCATAAAGCAGCTATCTCAAAGGTGCCAGCAGTTGGGCATTTTTCTCAACAATAACACGATTATTAGCCCCCAGTTTGAACCAATGCAGGTGCTCAACAATGCAACTCTTTTGGAATCAAAGCTGAAGAAAATCCACAGAGCTGCATTCAACAAACTCCAACTGATTATATGTGTAATGGAGAGGAAACACAAAGGGTATGCGGATTTGAAGCGAATTGCTGAGACAAGTGTTGGGGTTGTCAGCCAATGCTGTTTGTACCAAAATCTTGGCAAACTGAGCTCACAATTTCTTGCAAATTTGGCACTCAAAATCAATGCCAAAGTTGGTGGATGCACGGTTGCTTTATACAATTCGTTACCTGCTCAAATCCCACGCCTCTTTCGACATGATGAACCAGTGATCTTTATGGGAGCTGATGTAACCCATCCTCACCCACTAGATGATTTTAGCCCCTCTGTTGCTGCCGTGGTGGGAAGTGTAAATTGGCCAGCTGCAAACAAGTACGTTTCGAGAATGAGGTCCCAAACGCATAGGCAAGAGATCATTCATGATCTTAGTGCAATGGTGGGTGAAATTTTGGATGATTTCTATCTTGAGCAATCCAAACTCCCCAAGAGAATAATATTTTTCCGAGATGGGGTGAGTGAAACACAGTTCTACAAAGTGCTTCAAGAGGAGTTGCAAGCCATTAGGGTGGCTTGTTCAAGATTTCCAAATTACAAGCCTCCCATTACTTTTGCAGTAGTTCAGAAGAGGCACCACACAAGGTTGTTTGCAAACGAAAATGATCCATCTTCAAATCAGAACCAACTCTTCAACGAGAATGTACCACCAGGAACGGTTGTGGACACCGTGATCACTCACCCGAGGGAATTTGACTTCTATCTTTGCAGCCACTGGGGTGTGAAGGGAACAAGCCGGCCCACGCACTATCATGTTTTGTGGGATGAAAACCAGTTCACTTCTGATGAATTGCAGAAGCTGGTTTACAATCTCTGCTACACTTTCGTAAGGTGCACCAAGCCGGTTTCTTTGGTTCCACCGGCTTACTATGCCCACCTTGCTGCATACAGAGGCAGACTTTACCTCGAGAGATCAGATTCCACTTTTACAAGAAGTGCTCCTGCATTCTCCCGCGCAGCCCCTCCAAAGGCAACGCCTCTGCCAAAACTAAGTGAGAATGTTAAGAAGCTCATGTTTTACTGCTGATTTTTTCATGGAATTGCTCTTGTATATTCTTCCCCTCATCATAGATGTAGTCAAAGATCACTCATTTTGCAGAGCTAGCTATATATGCAGTTTCTTACCATCATATCCTCATTGACTAATAATAGATTGAATTGCTAATTGGTTCTGGCCATAATAGCTCATGCAAGTGTCTTTGAATGTAACAAGGAAATGACAATTAGTGCTAAACTTTTTATTGATGTCCATGTACTTCTTTTGAATGTTCCAACCAGATTCTGGAGCATCATCAGTATTAGGTATTGTTCCTCCAAGGATCGTAGTCCCAAGTAATTCCTGGCGAGCTCGAATATGACCAGATTTATAACTAAGTATCTCTTGTAAAATATAAGCAACACCTCCTCCAAAGAGGGCGGTTGAGAGTTTGAGGACCATTAGGAACATATTGTGGATATCGGGTAACTTGACAACTTCTCCGAGTAAAAGAACAATTTTGTTTTCAATACACCAATAGCAACCTTGATCAAACAACATGAAAGACCAAGTGTTGGAGGTGAAGAGTGAAGAGTGAAGAGTGAAGAGTGAAAGATGTGTCAAACTTTTGAATTAGTGTACAAAGTGACTTGTGTTGAGACTAAGTTATGCACAAGAGTAATTAAATCCTTTTAACCTAAAAGTAATCATCCCTACAAAAGTTCCAGACTTGGTACGCGTAGTTTATTTTTTCTCATTTTTCTTTGCTGAGATGAGAACCTTAGGCCTATCCTAATCCAATATCATATTGTCTTGTCATTTCGTGTTGGATGGATGAACAATCAACTTTTTCACGTAAGCTATGTTCGGTCACAATCCTCAACCGCTAAATAATGTGAGTTGACATAGTTTTTTTTTTGTCAAATGTTAAGTCATAATTATCCATCGTTAAAACATGTGAGCTCACATAGTGGAGTACTTAACATTCTTCTAAACTCAAAATGAGATGAACTAGCATAACAACATTTGTCTAGATGGCCGTGTAACACAGACATCACTAATATATTAGCACACACTTATTACTTTGTAATGATAAATTCATAATATTAACATGAGAGAATTAATGATATGAAGTTTGATGATCAGACTAATTTCATTGATATCAGTAGCAGGATTGACATTATCACGACGTTAACGGCCACTTATACAAAAGTTCTAGACTTGTTACACATAGTTTATATAAAATTAGTTGGAGTTATGCGACTCTCGGACTCAGTAAATATGCAAGTGTAAATATATAATTAATTACACATTTTTCTTAAGTTTCACGATCTTTTTTAACGGGTGTCGCTCTTATGGTTCGAGCGCGCTCTCATTTTCAGAATCCGCGCACGTTCTGACTTAAATTCTCACTATTTATAATTTAATTTTGTTGCTTTCACGCTCTCGCTTTTGAATTCACTTCTTCTTTCATTTTTATTTTATGTGATTTGCACGTACCTTGTATTATATATTAGTTTATTAAATATTTCCAGGCATGCAAAAGAGCATAAAGAATACAGTGTTCCACAGGGAAAAGGAAGGATATACTGTAAAGTGGTTTGAGGTACCCACAAAAGGGATGGTACACGAAGTCAGTGGCAGTGCCAGCACAATTGATCAATAACATATGGAGAGAGAAAGAGAGAGAGAGACTGAGAGCCAGGGAGATTAAATAAGAGCCAAGAAAAGGATGGGATTTGAGAGAGAAAGAGATTAAACGAGAGCCAAGAAAAGAGATGGGATTTGAAGTAGAGCCACTGAATTCTGACTTTCGTCTTCCCCTTTTGTCTCTTCAGCTTTCCCCATTCAGCTTTCTCTCTCCTTTCCTTTCCACTGTCCATCCCCACACTCTCTTCCTTCCACTACCCTTTTTAAGACACACTATTCTTCCATCCCTCTCCTCTCTCTCTTCTTCACTCTCCCTCTCTCTCTTCTCTCTCTCTCTCCTCCACAGGCTTTATCAAGACTATACATTTCTCTCTCTCATACTTTTTCTGTGCACCACCTTTAAGTACTGCACGGCTTGGGAAGGAACAGTAGGAGGTAGGGACCAGATGAGATTGGGACCCACCTCAGGAGGATGTAGCCCATCTGGAGACTCACATCTCTCCCAATTGTTCATTACACGTGTCAACAGCTCATAAGACATAGACCCACTGATCCACACGTGTCAGCCTCATGTCAACACTGATCCACACGTGTCAGCCTCATGTCAAATCCAATTCAATTCTAGTTCAGTAAAACAGCATTTGACAGTTTTTTGTGTTTACTAGCAACCAGGATCTCCTCCTCTGCAGAGAGATCTGGTTACATCACTAAATATAACACCATTAAAATAATAATATTATTAAATTCGATTTTTGTTACATAAGTGATAAATTTATAACATAAATTATATAATTTTTTACATTAGCCATGTAAAAGGATAGGACAGATACAGTCACACTGGTTGAAGACGACCATAATTTATTTACGCACTTCAAAAAACATCGTGATTCGCTTATCCTAGAGACCCTTGCCGAGGGCTTCCAAAAAAATTGATCATTGCCACTTTTTTATAGGATTATTTATTTATCGTGAATGTTATAAAATTTTAATTTCTAAATCCAAATACATCCATCCAAATTCAACTAATGATTTCTCAAGTACGCCGGTTCTTTCTAGATGAGAGATCTCATTTTAACTTTCTTTAAGCAATTAAGTTTACGTATTAAGTATAATTGATATATATTCCTAAATTTTTTTTTTTTTATTGACAAAAAAAACATAATTTCTCAAAACTATAATTTTCTTTTTAGATGAGAGATCTCATTCTAACTTTATTTAAGTTTACTTAATAGATATTAAGTATAATTGATCTATATTCGTGGAGATTAGTTTTTATTATCATTATTCTTTCATTTGTAATAAACACACGTATATCATTCACATACTCACTTTAACTCTTACCATCTATTTTTGAAGGTATCTTGCTCTTGATCATAATAATTAGTTATTATTGAATATATTTGTTTGTTGTCAAAAGAAAATTACAATATTCCTCAAAAAATTTAAAATTTTCAAAATACTGAATAATAAATTTATGGTAGATGTCTCGATAACCTAGTGGGTTAGTCTCTTCGGTAAATTTTGGAGTGCAGGTTTCGACTATCTGTATCTACTAATCTAACTTTTAATATTTCTGTCTTGAAAAAATAATAATAAATTTGTGTAAAATTTACCAGCACCATATGTGTGAGTGGTGACTAAGCGAACTTGATATTTTGACATTATCACCGTAAAAAAAAATGATTAAGAAAAGATTAAATTAGAGATTAAGAAATTTCAGACCTCCTATTACATATATTGTGCAAGTAGTATTGGGGTGTTTCTGCTTAAATTGTACAAGGTGAAATTCTCAAATACAATTCTCAGAGAGAAATCCCACTACTTATCACCAGCAGAACAAATACCCGGATTTGAATTAGAAAAAAAAAAAAAAAATTTGCAGTCCCCCGCCTTACCACTCGGTCATGCCGTCGACAGGGTGCCGACCATCACATGACATCCCCCATCACTTCACTTACAAAAATAAAATTCGATAACTAATTAATTCTACTCACAAATCATTATTCCTATTTGTGTAATATATATTAAAAAAAATCACAAGTCCATCTGTTAGTAAGGCCCATCAAAGTGGGAGATAGATCATATTTTTGTTGTATCTGATGTCCCATCCGTGTCCAGTCCAGCCCACTTTGTCTGGCTCATTCTGAGGGAGAATATATATTCACTGTATGTATTGTGGCATCATGATCACATTGGATATTGAACATCCCAACGAATTGACGGTGCCAAACCATTGGACCACCAAATACTGTACCGTCTGATCAGAGCTCAGGTGATGGAATGTGATGAAAATACCGTACACATGCGAGCATGAGATTCCAATGCCTCTGTGTCCCATCTCTCACTTCCCCCACTGAAGCTGACCTGTGAAGCATCATGTCATTTGTTGGACATTTTGTCCATCTTGATGCCATTAATGGGGACCATAAGTAGTAACATCACACACACCTTTGTTACATTTTACTCCCTCACTCGCAAAGTACTTTTTTAGTATATTAATAAGATTGAAATTTTAAATTTATTTTTATTAAAAAATAAAATAATATTTCGTAATTAATATAGTTATTTAGTTAAAATGATAGTTTAAAAATATTATAAAAAATAGTACATTCAATTTTAAAAATAATACATTTGATTTTAAAATGAGACTTTTGAAACATTCGAAAATAAAAAATAAACAAATATTTTAGAATGAAGGGAGTACATTTTTGTTTTGCATCAAAACAAATAAAAATTACTCAATTTTCATTAGAAAGTATTTTCAAAGTATAAATGTTACATTTTCTTCAATAATAATGTTACATTCAACCTAAGTCATATAAAGGGCGAGAGTGAGAACGACATAATTAAGTTATAAAATAGTGAAAATTTGAGTAAAAACGCACGAAACGTGAGAGCAAAAGCGCACTTAGAGTGTAAAAGTAACGCCTACTGAGAAAAATTGTGTAACTTAGCATTTAACACGATATTGTTTTAATGCACAGCAAATATGTACAAATATGTACTTGTGAATTTCTCTTTATAAACTATTCTCGATATCCCGAGGTAGGTTTAAATGTGGATTGCATTAAATATTTTGTATGTTGTGAAAACATAAAGTAAATTTAGTATTAATAAAATTTTACTAAAAATACTGCTCTTAAAGGATAACAAAACCAACTCAACAAGTTTTATGGGTTGGACAGATAGGAAAGAAAAAATTTAAATGGAAAGGACCCGAAAAAAAAAAAAGAGGGGATTGATGAGATGGAAAAAATTATGTATTTCTTTCTTTTTATTCGATTGGATAAAAAAGAAGAGAAAAGAAGAACTTAAAATTTGTTGTTTTGCTTAGAAGATAAGAAAAGATAAAATTTTAATTATTTTTGCCATTACATCCAATAATATTTATAATATTATAATTTATAGAGGATGGTAGTGTAATTTAAAATAGTATTTAATTTAAAACTTCTAAAATAGTCCACTTGTATTCTCTCCTTTTTTTACCATTTTTGGATAGATAAAAATTTATAAAGAAAGGATGGGTCATCTCTAACCAAACAAAAAAAATTCGTTCTTTCCTACCAACACAGTATTAATGTATCCATCCAAGTCCTTTCTTTTCCTTTAAAATTTTATCCCAAACAAAATAAATAAATAAATAATAAAATAAAATCATATTCCTTCATTTCCTTTCTTTTCTTACCCTTCCCTCTCTTTCCAACAAACTGGGGCATTAAGGTATGAGATTGGCTATTCCACTTTCCATTAAAAACCATGTGGTACCATCCCTTCTAGTTGGACTCAAGACGAGGACCCCACCACTTCCTGCACACTCTCCTGTGCCAAGTAATAGCGGTAGTAGATCCGATAACCACCTAAGCCCATATTCATTTTATGGGCCCAAGTTGAGAAATATAGGTCCAGTTCAGAACCAATAATAAGCAATTGAACTGAACCCAATTTTACCAGCCCAATCATTATACGGACAGGAGCAGGCCCAGCATGATGACTCGGGTGATCGAATAATCTTGATGTTAATTAGATATTGACTTGTAAAAATTGAATCTATTTCACTTGAGCTGCTGAAAATAGCAAAGAGACTCCATGAACTTCAGTTTGCAAAGCTTTTCTCTCTAAAACAGAAAATTTATACATCCATAACAAGCCTAATCTCTGGCTCTTGCTCTCCTCTCTTTTTTCGAAATTCGGATGCAAGTAAAGCAAGACAGATGATTGAAGCATGCATTTGAATAACAAATTCTGAAGAAAGGACCTGTTTCCGGTGCACGAACCATTTTCAAGTTGCTGGAAATTGGAGCAATTCCCGTATTCCTTCCAAAACCTGCATGCAATCAACGAAATGATCGTTTATAGGCAATCTTAACGCTAGTATAGGACCATCATATATTTTGGGAGCATGGGGAAAGATATCAAAACAGCAACTCGAAACAGTTTGATGACTAGATTTATAGATTCATTTCAGGAATTTCAATTTCAAGATTTATAGATTCGTTTTAGGAATTTCAATTTCACTCCTCTTCAAAAAAGTTAATCTTGAGTTGAGAGTATATAGGATCAAGTCAAGAAACGCCACTTCAAGGACTTGATGGAAGAACCCTGCAAGGACAGTCAATTCAACTCTGAAACGGATGTTCAGAAAGAGAAAAGGAGATGAGGGACCCCCGGGGGGCCATGGCGGGAGAGAGGACAAAACATAAGTAAAAGGACTTGATGGAAGAACCCTGTAAGGGCAGTCAATTCAACTCTGAAACAGTATGTTCAGAAAGAGATAAAAAGAGGGGCATGGCCGTGAAGGAGGACAAAACAAAAACTAAATATTAAATTTAATAGAAAATAAAAACCACCACAACTCAGTATACCATCTTGATCTGGGCTTTGATTGATGCAATTAGATGAGTATACTCCTCTATTTGCCTGCAGATTAATAACCAGTAATAAAATCAACTTACATCTAACCACAGAAAGTGAAAGAAATAGTAGTAATATTAAAAAAGAAATGACCTTTTTCAGGAAGAAAAAAGAAGAAGAAATAGGATTATAAAATAAATGGACGAAGTGTTCTTCCCAACATCAATGCAGGCAAATTGCCAACCAATCAATATTCTGCTAATCCAATTTATATCATTCTTCTGGAGAGTCGAGGACAAGCCCAGGTTCACGTTCCTTAACGGGAAAAGTTCTAAACGACAGTTCCAAGAAAACTACAATGAATTTTCCTACACGTGGAACCTAAATTCTAGGTGATAAGATTAATTAGCATCAAATCTTTCTGCAAATGAAATGAACACATTGATTAAGACAAAAGACCCCCACCCAGCACAAATAGCAACAGCAATGAAAAAGAACAGTTATTATACTCACATGCCATTTGAGCAGCATTTCACTTTATTATGATTGGTAACTTAATACTGACATCATCATAATACTAAATTTTCAACATAAAAATGTCAAGACAAATGAAACAAATGGTCAACCTCATCATCATAATACTACTGCTCAAAACCCGGAAAATGCTTTGAATCAATTTTCTACAATTTCAGGTCTTGAAGTGAGCCCAGAAAACGGTACTATTTTCTTCTCCAAGTCAGTAAAAAGAAGAAAAAGTTTGATGGACTTGTTCCAGCGTAAAGCATGTGTTTTCCCCATAAATTACCTTGGTTTACCTCTGCTTCATACTGGTTTGAAGAAGACTCGCTGCACAAATCTGATTGACTAGTTTGCAGCTATGATCAACACATGGAATGGTCTCTGTCTTTCACTTGCAGGGAGATTGGAGCTAGTGAGAACTGTCCTTACCTCCTTTGTTTATTATTGGTGCTCTGTGTTCACACTTCCCAGATCAGTAATTAAGTACTTAGAGAAGAATACGAGAGATTCCCTATGGGGTTCAACAACCACCAACAGGAAGTTGCATGCTCTTAATTGGAAAATGGTAACTGCTCCTAAAGATGAAGCTGGTTTTGGGATCAGAAAGATTGATGATAAAAACACGGTTTCTACCTGCAAAACAGTGTGGAAATTTCTACAATCTAAGGACTGCTTGTGGGTGGCTTGGTTCAGAAGGAAATACACTAGACTAGTGTCCTACCGGAACTACTTCACCAAGGCAAGGATTCATTAATCTGGAGACATATGTTAGAGGTCCGAAACTCTGTTCTCAGGAACAGTGAGTTCCATATAAAAGATGGCTCCACTATCTCTCTGTTCACTGATCCATGGTGCCAAGGGAAAACTGTTTTATCCAGATTTAGTGATCGATTTTCCAGAGAGCTTGGCATCCCAAAGCAGGCCCTTCTATCCACCATTATTCATGAGGGATAGTGGCAACTTCCTAACTCTGCCTCTGATATGGTGCATCAATTCAGAATATATGCCTTATCTATTGACTTGGAGCAGGACAGAGACTCAATTATATGGAAGCATGGGACATTCTCTCTCAAAAGTGCATGGGACAACTGCAGGAATCAACACACAAAGGTTCATTGGTCTGATATATGTTGGAGTGGATGTAGGCCAAGAGCTTCTATTGTTTGCTGCCTGGCAATCCAAAACAAATTACTATTTTTTGAAAACTTGAAGAGAAGAGGCATACACCTAGTGGCTATCTGTCACAACTGTAAGCTGGCCTCGGATGATGTTGACCATTTGTTTGTCACATGCTCCCTTGCAACACAGGTGTGGCAATGGCTCTCCACATTGCTAGGATGGAATATGAAATTTGACAGATTAAATCAGTTGGTTGATAGGTTTATAAACATTTAACATAAGGCTCAAAAGAGGAGTTGTGCCACTGTCACTTGGCAGCTGTGGTGTGAGAGGAATATGAGACTACACCATGACACGTGTAGGTCTGCTGAAGAAATTGCCAGAGGAATTTGGTGGGAAGTCATGATCCTAGCTGACGTGGATATGGGGGAGCTTCACCCCCATAAGCTAGGCCGATGTACTTTTCTTTTATATTTTGTTGTCAGTTTTGACACTGTCCATGTTTGCAGTTTTATTGTTTGCTGACAGTCTTTATTCTCCAAGGGGATGCCCTTGATGCTATGTGTACTCTATTTTATATTTATAAAAAAAAAAAAAAAAAAAAAAAAAAAAAAAAAAAATTCCACTTACCCAGGAAAAAAAAAAAAAAAGAATAGTCTGCCCTCATTTTCTTATAAACAAACAGGGCAAGCTTTAAATATGCAGACAAGGTAAACAATTTTGACATCCCCAGCTGACCGCTTTCCCTACCAGTACTAAAGATGCACCAGATATGATTATGACTCAATAACACTATCCCCTTGTGGTAGTAATGGGCACACAAAAAATAATTGAAAGCTTTACAGAGATACAAATACAGAATCTACAAGGTTTCACAGCTAAAATTAAGCATTCTATGGCTCAGATGTTGACTAAATGAAGTGAACTAAACACCAACAAGCCAGTGGCCTAGCGGTACCAGACCCCTACTTCCCAAAGGGAGGTCAGGGGTTCAAGCCTCAACGGAGGCATGTGTGTGTGAGCACCAACTAAGAAAAAAAAAAAAAAACAGAAAAAAAAAAAAAGAAGTGAACTAAACTTGACAGCGGTTACAGTGACCTGATATATGTGGATGTGACACTGCAAAAAGCTTGATGTTGTTCTTAAAACTGATATCAAGGTATGTCTATCTGGGTTCTAAACGTTGTACTTCCTAAAACTTTTAACAGTGTCTTCATGGATCAGGATAAGCAACATATAAAGGAAAATACCTGGCTAACCTTTCCTCCCTTGCTGTTATATAGTTTAGAGCTTCAGACCAGGTGAACTCCACATGGAATCCAAGTCCAATATCTACAAATATGTGTCGCGTATCTGGCCTGCAAACATGCAGAAGCCCCCAAAAGAGGATTAAGGCAAAACAGAACAAAACAAAAATGCCCCCATTAAGGTACTCATGGATTAGATACTTTGCCATTAAAAAAATTCATTATACAATTCCCTGTAAGATGGTGACATGGAATTGGAAATGTAAAACTTGAAAGATAAACCTTTTATTATAAATTCTATGTGAATTTTTTTAAGTTAATCACTTGAGATTATTGCAGAATGTTAAGACTCACCAGTTAAGCATAGCATATGTCATACACATAACATATACGTGCTTCAAGATCAAGTTCCATGATAGTGGTAATAGTTCCACAGTAGTTATAAAAGAACTAATTGCTGAATAAAAAAATTTAAAAAAAAAAAAAAAAAAGGAAGCCCAACATAATGAATAAGATATGATACCACTATACATATTTTTCAGGTTTTTTCTTTAAAAACGTAGACAGAAATTGTATATGCAAAAAGAAAGCTACATGATGTGTGTATGCTGCATACACCTCGAGTACAAATGTGTGTACACACGAGTCAAAATAGCTGCCTGAGGCAACAGAAAACGATGTGATACGAAAGACATACACTTCAGCTTGCATGTATACTTCTGATCCAAGATTGACCATTGTCCTGAGACTGGTCACACTATTCTTCTCCATGTTCTCTATGTTCCTCCTCAAATCTGAGCTATAAAGTACACATGGTTAAGCAAAAGCAGGTATAAAAAGGATTGCCAATGCAGGTGCAAAAATAAAGTAGAGGAATCTCAATGACAAAGCAAAATTACTATATACAGATAATAAATTTATCAGAAATTGAAAGAACCAAGCCATATATCCTCATATGAGATGAACGAGAAAAAGAGAAGGATACAAAGTTTTCTGTTGTTCGAAGATCTTGTCCCTGCAAAATATACTAAATGCAGTCAGGTGGCATTGTTATTGCTTAAAACTAAGCCTTTTACTTCTCAAGTCTAAACTCAAAAAACAGAGATAAGATCATCCATATTTCTGTTATTGCTGCTTCTTAACTTATCCACTTCCACATAAGTTTATAGGACAATATGTTAAACTTGTGCTGGATTTGCTGCCCCTTGAGTTACCAGAGTCTCTCGCAAGGACGAAAGTAATTCTTTACACAATATATATATATATATATATATATATATATATATATATATATATATATCACCCATTGCCCTACCAATTGCTTGTATAATGCCCACTCAACTGACAACTATCAGCACTTTGAAACAAGCAATGATTATCAGGTCACAAGCATTGCCAAAAATGGTTTGTGATGCCAATCTTCAACCCAATAAAGAATAACATGCTAAAGAAATTAAAAATCAACATAAAATGTTGCTATAGTCCTCAACAGTGCAAGTGAGCATTGCCAATACGAACACCAATATAGGTTTTGCCAAGGATTGCATATTTCCAGATACAGCACCCTGAATCATGAGCATGAAAAAATGTTTAAAAACAATAATATATGGCATTCTGGCAACTTTAGTCAGCCTATAACATTTGTTTTGATCTCATTAATGAATTGGTTATACGTAGACTGAACTGAATTCAACATCCCTCCCCCCTCTTGTCTTTCTCGAGAAAGAAAGACTAGAGAAAGGAAATGAGTGGTTGTGCAATGAAAACCATAAAAGTGAGATCTGAGACACTAAACAGCAGCCCAAAATGAATTGGGTATGCCTGATGAGTAATGAGAATCGTGTAAGGCAATACATTTGATGATATCCATCTTACAGATTCTACCAGAAGCATGTTCATATATATACAAAGAATTAAATCGTTTAACATGTGAGCTTACACTTGGGATTTTAGCAGCCAAGTAGCCACGTAAACCTGTGATGGGACATTTTATAATTTCAACTAACAGCAAGAAAAATTCACAATTTTCACTGATAAGAAAACAATACAAAGTATAGGTGTTTGATGTCATAAAATCACCATGCCATTTGTGCTAAAACCAACTTTATAGTAGGTCTACAGATTGACCAAATGTTCAACTCATAGGATCAGAATGTTCCACATACAATAAAATCATGCAAGAACTTCCTTTCTAACAAAGCAAAATCTCTCGGACAATTCGGAAACTACAAAAAGAAAACATCTATGACATCTCTTTCGTGGTACAAGAGAGGATTGGAGTTGGGTGTGTGTTATTTGTATAAACGAAACAAGGAAAAAAGAGTTGAATATGTACATTTCACCACCAAGGGCTATATAGCCTAGTTGTTTCTCTTCTACCTCTCAAAGTAGTCTATGAGGGTTCAAGTCCCTATATGGGCAAATGGGTGTGCGGGTTTCTTGGCAAGGAAAAAAAAATATACCTTTGAGCAATAGCCTTAACAAGATCTGGCTTTAAGCGACGATCAACAAATTCCTCAAATCTCTGTACCTTTTCCTGTCGGATTCTGTCCATTTTTTGTCCTGTCACGAAATGAAATCAAATTAGAAATCATGACTCTCGAGAATCCTTTCATTATATATTCCGAGCTTTAAGGTTGAGTACCATAGCATCATATAAAAATAATAATAATGATAACCATCTTTGTTATTATCATCAAAACAGAGTGATAATTGAATTAAAAGATTTCAATGTTTAAGCAGTAGTCCTCCAATAAGTTGTCTATCTCTGTCTTCACAACAAATGTCTATTTGTCTTCACAACAAACACCAATAAGTCATCTATCTGTCTTCACAACAAACACACAGAGAAAAGATTGTATGCAAGTATATATGTAGTGAAACTAAACCCATGTTGTCTACTCAATGATGTTAGCACTACAAATTCAATCTTTGAAACACATAGTAATCATAACAATTGGAGCAACCAACGGGCCAGTGACTTAGCGGTATCAACCTCTTACTTCCCAAAGGGAGGTCAGGGATTCAAGTCTCAGAAGAGACGTGTGTGTGAGTACCAACCAGGAAAAAAAAAAAAAAAAACAATTGGAGCAAATGCTAAAAATTTGAATCCCAAATACAAGTTGACCAATACTTAGTTTAAGCCCGGGATTGATCACACAGAAAAGTAAAGTAAATGGACCCAAATAAAAGATAGAAATCACATCAACATATTCCTCAAATCTCTATCAGGTATTTTATCAAACATCTGGGGTACATGAAAAAGTATAACGCGTGTTTTGCTTTTCTTTTTTCATGTAAGCACAAAAAAAATAAAGGTTTCCATAGTGGGGTGATACATATTAATTTGATAATCAGTAAAACGATGAAGCTCACCGGATTTGAGTGTTTTTTTCTTGAACTATGGAGATGCTAAAGAGAGAGAGATGTAGAGCCAAATTAGTTTATAAATTATATGTATGTGTGTGTGTGTGTATATATATATACACACGCACTTGAATCCTCAATCAAGAATAAAAGAGAAGAGGAAATATGTCTGAGTTACGAGCATTGGTGGTCAGAACCAAATTGGTTTATTAGCTCAAAAACAGTGACAAATTTGGGAAAATAAAGAATTTGGGTATGCAATTCTTATCGAAAAAATACTTATCAAAAAAAAAAATTCTTATCAAAAAAAAGAATATTGGTATGCAGTTAGGGTTTTGAAGTAGAGAAAGAGTAAAGAAATGGCTGTGAAGTACATTGAAGGGAAAAAAGCAGCCAAATCTTATCCAGGTTTGAGCTGAGGTTCTGGTACTGTGCTTTGTGTATTGTTCTGGACTTTCTCTAGGGTTTGTTGGATGAATCCAATTAATGGGTATTTGTTTTTATATTTCTAGGGTTTGAGAGCAGAACCAGTGAAGTGAGATGGGTGAGGGTCAGTCGGCTTGGAGGTTGTGAAAATCAAATAGTACCTTTTGTTCTTTTCTGCAATACAATGATTGTGTTTGCTGACTGATGAGGGAATATTTAGAAGCTAAAACCTTCTTGGAAAGTTTTGCACGTAAAAGGAAATTCTGTAGGGAACACATGGTGCTTCGGAGAGTTTTTCGGCTCCTACGTCTAAGCTATGAAGCATGGACATGGACACGGGTATGACACAGAAAATTTCAAAAAAATAGGACATGGACACAGAGGGAATAAGCCGATGAAATTATATATATATATATATATATAGATATTCAAAATCCACAATACCATAAATCTAACCTCCCCAAAAAAAATGCTACATCACACAAATACTTCAATTCATCATTTAAGCAATTAAAAACCAAACAAAGTTATAAACAAAAATAGAGAAATAGGTTAAAGTAAATTTCCAATATTCTTCATTCGTCACCTAAGTTCAACATTCTTCATTCATCACCTAAAACTCATAAGTTCAATAACCAAAAATCTACATCATGTGCATCTTTCATCATTGACCACATAAGTTCAAACAACATAACACACAAGAGAAAGCCAAAAAAGGGCCACATGTGGGTGCTTCCATATCTCTACAGTTTACACACATCCACAAATATAGCTGTTCTTATTTCTCTCTGCTTTTCTTGCTAGGATCTAAATTTTGATTTAATTTTAGTACCATGTCAATGAAACAATGTAACTGTGTCAATGAGAATAATCGCACATTATAATGAGACCGAACACTGCCCTTGCTTAGGTTAACTAAGACGAATTAATCAGTTCAAAGGTAAACAGAACAGAATCAGAAAATTCAGAAAACGTAGAAGTTGAGAATCTCAGTTAGACAAAAGACCAATTTCATTAATTTCATCTCTGTTACAAGAAAAAGATAGACAACTGTGCTCTTGACAAAACAGAAAACAAATGCGAAATACAGTTGATCCAAACGAAGATGTGCAGAAGACATAGCCATGGTGGGTTAAATATGTACATGAATAAACATATACACTTTCTAAGGGCATCACAAAGTCTAGTTCCAGTACTTAGCGCTTTGTTTCAAACAGTGGGTTAGTTAAAAATGTAGAGAGATAGTTGAAGAAGACGAGAGAGGAAGTGAGAGAAAAGAATTTAGTTTGCAAAACAAGAATTACAGACCTTGATTGGTTGATTTAGAAAAAAAAATTAAAGCAAAACCCATACATACAAGTTAGCAGTTGCAGAGAGAGAGAGGGAGGCAAGCTTGCGAGTCGAGAGACAGCGGCAGAAGCTTGCGAACGGCGAACCCGAACTGGAACAGCGGGCAATGGAAACTGAAAGATATGGATTTTGATTTTTTGAACAATCTGAAATGATATGCCGATATGGGTTTTAATATAGGTAATAAATAGGTTTTGAACTTTTGATTCTTGCAGACAGATAGATAAACTGAAATATATGCGTTTTGAACTTCTGATTCTTGTAGATTTTGTAGTTTGCAGTTGCACAGAGAGAGAGAGAGAGAGAGAGAGAGAGAGGGCAAGTTCAGAGTTGAGAAAGAGTACAGATATGGAGGCGATTGGGGAGGCTAAAATGATTTGCCCTAAAAATATTATTTTTATATTAAAGAGTTAAATTTATATATTTATCTTTTAAAATATAAAAAAGTATAATAGTAAATTTATTAAAATAGTGTCGATTCTTTTCTTTTTTTTTTAAATAAAATTATTGTTATTTATTTTTTTTATTATTAATTAACTAAACATGATAATAGGTTAAAATTATTCTTCTCTTTCTTTTCTTTCATAACTAATATTATTATCTCTCTCATTTTTCACCCTACCAAATATAACCTTAGCCTCCGTTTGGTTTAACACAAAAATTAAAGAAAATTGTAAAAAAATACTTATTTTGAATAGCAAAGTGAAAGTAAAAAGAATTGGACATATCAAACTTATCTTTATAATTTTAAATGTTAAAAAATAAATAAATTTGTATTTAATTATGTTTATTTTTAGTAAAGTAATAATAAAATGATAGAATTATTAAATTTGTAATATAATTATTTATATTTTATTTTTATTTAAAACAAACTTTATAATATATTTTTTTTTAGGTAGACGTGGAACTACAGTAATTATTAATTTAAGATAAACAAAACTTTAGAAAAAAAACAAAAACAAAACAAAACAAAAACAATGGAGATGATGGTAAATACTAAATTTTGAGAGAGATTGATTGTGTGTTGTTGTTGCAAATTATATATGAACTTGTAGAAGAATAAAGAATGTTTTGCTAAGAACTTCTAAAATTACATTCTTTAATTACATTGTTTTGCTGGAAAAACAAACAATGTTTTGAAACTCACTAAAAAATTTGCACGATTAAGTTAATGGAAAAATAGGAATGTCAAAAAAAAAAAACAAGACACTCATTTCACACTTACGGGGAAATCAAATTTTCCATTACATTTCCTTTTCCATCTATCCTAACAGTATTTTGCTTTTTAAATTTTTTTTCAAAATTTTACTTTTAAACTTTTAAAATTACATTAGGTATCCCATTTTTCAAAAAAAAAAAAAAAAATTACAAAATATACTCCGCGTCCAATCCGTGTCCCATGTCTAATAAAAAAATAATTTCAGAACACTTCGTATAAGTATCGAACATGTGTCTCACAGTGCTTCATTCAATAGGTCTAAAGGAATAGAGGGGGACTTAGAGAGGCGACCAAAGGATTTTACACGAGTTTTTCGGATTACTTGAATCTTCTTTATTTTTAATAGATAAATATTTTTAAAAATTGTGTTAAAGTATATAACAATATACATTTAATATGAAATAAAAATTGTTTTTGGACTTTGGGTGATTTAAACTTGTGAGTCTTAATAATGTTCATTCCAATTAGAATTTGGAATGAACTCAATATGTTATATTGTTTATTATTTTGTTTATTCTATTTTTTTTTTTTTTACTTTAAAATTCTAAAGCAAACATGTAAAAATTGGGTTAATACTCCCTACCAAAAACATATATATATATATATATTGAATTATGTCCGAATTTGCAAATATCATCCCAAACTATCACATTTTGTGCACAATATCCCCAAACTATCACATTTTGTTGTAAAATGCCCACATACCTGTTATTAAAATAAAAAAATAAAAATCATACTAATTTGATGACATATTTCTCCATTAAATTTGGATAAATTTACATTTAATTCTTGAAATTAATTGTTTAAATAAAAATCTTTAGTAGAAAAAAGCAATTTAAAAAAATGTTTTTTTTTACAGTACAATTTTTAAAATTTAGTATCACAAGTTTTTATTATAAATAGTAAAGATAATTGCTTTATGTGAGTAAATACTCTACTTATATAAATAGAGTCGATATTCGACCTTCGCTGTACCCAACTCATATAAAAATTTGTGACTCTTCCAATAACTAGAGAGAATTATCATTTAATTTTTAGCAGTCCCTTCATACTACTACAATGTGAATCATCTCAAAGGGCTGCAAAAGGTGTTGGATTATGGTGCTTTCTGAAAAAGCCTCAGGTTGGAAGATCTCTGCAAGCTACTGGCTGTGGTATGTTCTTACCAGCATCCCCTGTTAAGAACTCTCTCTCTGTCTCTCTCACAATTAACACCATATTAATATGTGTACTCATCTTATACAACCATGTTTAGAGTCCAATTAAGCATGCACTGTGCATTTAAAATTTTGAATTTACCTATAATTGGATTTGAGGAAGAAGGCTGTAGAATGTAGCCAGAATAACTAGTGCCCCTGCTTTGTTTACAGACTGCATTCAACTCCATGTATGAACTTCAAAACTGACCGGCTCGGCTCGCCTTTTAACCTGTTGGCTTATGGCTTAAGTTGCAAACCCTAGGTCAAGGGTTCGAGGCTGGCGGAGGAAGAAGAGAGAGATCTTGATGCAGCTTTATCAAGAGAGGACAAACATTGTCAAAGAAGCAAAAGAATGCTAGAACTAGGAGAAGAACAATAGTTGCTGCAATTTTCTATTCAGAATGAAACTGATCCCCATCTCTCCAATACCCTAGCCACTCTCTTTATATAGAATCTCCCGGCAATCCTAGCCATTATTGTTTATAACAATATAGTAAAGTTACTAATAATCTGAAAAACACATAAACGAGGAAATATCCAAAAATCATAATATGAAAAGTTTTCAAAAATCACAAAGTTGAACTGATGTAGAACACATAAGTAGTAGAACTGGATGAGATACCGGATAGTGAGTGCATGTCAATAAGTATGAAATGCATTCTAATTCATTGCAAAATATGCCAAGACTGCGAAGGAAGAAATGTTGCCTTACGTCGACAAAGATCCCACTCTCTGGCCAAGAGTGTGGTATATAAGTAATAAAAAAAAAAAAATCTGTACTAACTATGATTGACAACAAAAAATACAGGGCATTGAATGTCCAAAAAATTTCCCACAAGCAATACAACTCAGTCATCAATGCTGCAATTACCGAGCTTTGAGATGGTTTCGCTCAGCTCCCATGTTTGTAGATTACTGAAGAAGCACTGCACTTTTATAATCCTATATTAACCAAAGAGTTGAGAGACCGTCTGCCATAAACACTGCACTTTTATGATCCTATGTTAACCAAAGAGTTGAGAGACCGTCTGCCAAAAATGCTTCTCGGGGAAGGTTCAGTTACACAAATAACCTTTTACACATCCTTCATCCATCAGGGGAGCAAGAACACAGGATGGGCTACAATATCCTGACTTCCCAATAACAGCTCCCACCTTCTTGTTTTCACCTCAACAAAACCACTCAGATCATACATCATGTTATAACATGATGTCATTGGCCATCCATTGTTCTAGGGGAAATGGTCATGGCTTCTAAAACTGATCGACATTCTCCATTTGAGGTTTCCATACTATAAGATCGACAACTGAAATAGTAAACCGCGCTCATCATGGAATCAATAAGCACTACAAATGAATACATAAGCACCAAAAGAGGCCCTTCCCATATCCTTGACGACCCATCTCCATAGCTTAGCGTCTTCACTCTGTGCTCAAACAAACCCTCCACAAACGCCATCCCAATCGTGGATCCAAGAAATATCAAAAGACCCACCTGAGTCTGGCCCCTAATCAACACACCAGACCGCAGCAATGCCTGCGGCCCTGAAACATCCTCCAATACAGAGATTACAATAGCAATATTGCATACAATGATGACATTTGCAAAAGTGATCGAGAAGATGAGCCCAACCACAATCGCAGGATAAACAATTACATCAGAAGGAAACCCAATTATGGAAAATAAGCTGCCCACAAGTACAATGAGGAGAAGAAACAATGTGAGGCAACCTACAACCACCATACACACCCACAAATACGTCGAAACAACCCGCCTCCAAATCTTGGTAACAATCACAAAGAACTTGGATGCATTGAACTTTTTTCTCGAATAAGTACAATCCACCGAGTAAACAACAGCAGCTTTTGACAACAATGACAATGTGATATACAAAGGGAAGCACATTGCAGTTGAAATGGCCATCTCCGAAAACTTTTGGCACGACTGTTTGATAAAAGGCCTAAGAGGGAGACCACTGGACTTTACCACTAACAAGAGCCTTACAGTCACTCTCTTCACAATGGATTGATCAACCAATACATTGGTTAAAAGAACAGCCGATACAGGGCATACAAGCAATGCTGCAATGGCCATGAAACCCATCAAATTGTACCGAAGAATTCGAACAGTTTCTCTCAAAATCTCCAACGCATTCATCGAACGAAATTGTTGATCCGATCGAATACTATGATCCGACCGTTCCAATTCAAAATTTTGAGGATCTGGTTCCTCATATCTCCCCTTGTTTTCACTAGAAGTTTCCATTTTTTCTTCGAAATTCAACAAAATGAATGATTTTACAAAATGGGTTTGAACAAATTGAAACCCTAAATCATTCCATTAGCTCGAATTAACAAGATAACACTAGAAATTCTATAGATCCGACATTGATTACATCTCTACAAATAATTCCGTAACTGAAGATCTGAATTGCGATTTACATGGGCGTTAAAGGCGACATATATAGATATATAAACAGATATATATGAATACATATATGTGTGTGTGTGTGTGCGCGCGCGCGCGTGTGTGTAGACGACGCTGATCAGAAAATGTGAAGGGTCAGGCGTTTCACGAAGTGAACAGAGTACAAATGGTACCTGAAACGTCTGAATCGAGAGTGAGAAGCTCGTGGCATTGGAGGCTGAGTCGCGTGAGAAGGGAAGATTATTGTTCGAGACACCTCTCGATATGGAGGGGAGGGAGAGGGAGAGGGAGAGGGAGAGAGAGAGAGCTGTCGATGGATTGAAGTGTGAGGAAGGAAAGGAATTTATGCGAGGCGTGTCCTATGTTTGAGTGTGGACTTTTGGCGTGATTGGTTGTATTTATATTAATAGTGTCGGTAAATTAATCAAATTGTTCAAAAATTATTTGGGTAATGATAAACTTACTCATTAATGTATTTAATATACTTTTTTCTAATTTTAGATAAAAATAATACCACTTGGTCCACTTTGATAATAAAATATTAGTGATTTAGAGGCCGAATTCGATAATTACTGAATTCAATTTAAGTGAAAGGGATGATAAGTCTCGTCCTAAAGTCACTCAGAACGAAAACACCACGCATGTTTACCTGTTTATTATTATGTGTGTATAAAATAAAATAATATATTTAAACTATAAGTAATCTTATTTATTTTATATTAGGAGATATATAATATTAATATTAATTAAAAAATCAAAATTATAGTATATATTTTTAAAAAAAGAAATTGCGACCTGAGAAATTCATATTTATATTCTAAATTCTTAAAAAGAGACCATTTAAATCATACATGAAATGATTACTTTAATGAATTGTAAAATAATAAACATCTTAACTAATAAAAGTAAAATTAAAAGTGTCTATATATTTTATTTACAAATATATATGTGACTGTTTAACTGTTTATGCAACGTGTACACACATTCCATGCACATAAGTCGATCCTTGAATCATTACTCATAAAAGGTACCCATACTTCCATATTAGTGGCCTTTCTATTTTATGATCTACCAAATTAATTATTTCCTTAACAAAAGTCAAATTTAATAGATATTAACTTTCTATCATTGTCAAATTTTAAAAAAAAAATTAACGTGATAATATACATATTTAAACTACAAAGGACGAGTAGATAACAAGTCTCTATAGGTAAATTATAAAGTCGAAATATATATTCGAAATTTGCAAATTATTTGAGAGTTCAAAACGACTAGTGGGTTGGGATTGATTCTTCATTAATAAAAAATTAAAAACAAAAATTGAAAATTAAAGATTATAATTTGAATAATTCAAAGTTTTATTTGATAAAACTCAATAAATTTTAAAGTAAACTCGCATCGAACACCTGCACTGAATTGTCTAACCGAATAATTTTTAATTTGCTATTTATACCGAATACAATTAAGTAGAGGGCTCCACTTCCTTATTTGTTATACAATTGATCAATTAAAAGAATAGATTTAACAATTCACTGCAGTTATTCGGTGCAAGAATTATTTTCCTAATTTTATGTTTTTAACCCAATGGGTGTGAATATTTTGTGGCCAAAAAGAAGATGGCTTTGATTGAGGGCAATTTCTTGGATTAAAATGAATGGGACGAGGAGTGTCTCCATTCCAAATATAAATAATCTGAAATAAAAGCAAGATTCAACTAATTAATGTACAATCTAACAAAATCAATGAAATTTGATTTAAATAAAATAAAATGGACAATTTATTAAACCAAGACACATTTACAATCTAACATTACTGCACTTCTTTTGCATAATAGGTAAAGAAAGAACGTGAGAAAAGTTATCATATGCCAAGTTTGGCATTTTCTTTATCTTTTACAATTTTTTATCGACTCCCCTTTCATCTCTATGTTTCTTAATCATCTATCTAGATTTCTTAATCATTTTCAACAACAAAAGGTCGTATATAATTTATTATTCGCTTATGTCATTTGTTGTACAAAAATGGAAGTTCAATAATTAATATCACTTGTCAATCATTTCTTTGAGCTTGATTTATTGAATCTACTTTCTTGCTTGAAAAAAAAAAAAAAAAATGCAAGCTCACACTCCTATAAAGATCCAGTAACAAACAATAATATATCAATCAAGAATGCTATTTTTATCATGATTCATTGGCAATTGAAAAAAAGGAAAACCCAAGTAGATTGACAAGAATAATCCCCAAATATGTGTGTGTGTATGTGTGTGTATTGTAAAGGATTACAAAGGTAAAAAATTTCTAACCACCAATCTGACAGTGGTACCCTCTGGTGCATATATAGGCTAACTTAAAACTTGCATCCTTGTACACTCTTAAGAGTACCGCTTGGGCACTTATCTGCTCACCCAAACAGACCATTAGTAATCTAAACATGCCAAAGATCATTCAGAAACAGTAGACAAAACATCCTTAAATATCTCTACATTTGACACAAAGTTTAACAAAAAAGAAGAGAAGAGAAGAAGAAATTAAGGATAAATGTATGTTGTTAACACCACTGTCCAGAAAACTGAAAGAACCAAATTAATGCCTGAAGAAACGAGAGACCACGAAGAGAAATTACATAGACAAGGAGAATATGGTTTTTCTGTAGATATGTTCAGAAACTCAAAAAGATGCCAGTTTAACCAAAACCCACATAGTAAGGATAATAAAGTTTTCTTCAAACAATTCAGAAGCAATCCCACCTTCTATCAGTCAATGGCTAGAACCAATTTATCAAGGCTGCCACGAAGCTCGAGCCAAAATCAAAGTATGTTCGTCTCAGTAAAAACTTCAGCCCTTATCATATGTCCACTCCAAGCAACCTTGGTTCGACGTTTTCAAAGCCACATAACACAATGCAATCAGACCAAGCTAAGGATATGGTAAATTGCTCTTTGGACAACCTCGGCCAAAAAATGAAAACTTGTCCCTTCAATAAGATTAAAGTAACCCAAATTCCATGAACTCCATCTGTTCAAAGCATCCTATTGCTAGCCTGGCCACTTGAAGATGATGCATTCAATCTAGAAATATTCTCATTCTGATCAGAGCTGAAAAGAAGGTTACTCCAGTTTGTTGACCTATGTGTAGTCCTGGAAGGAACTCGGTCACTATCTTCCCCACCGGACGCATCATAACCGTCACTTGTAGACCTTGACAATGGGATTCCCTTCTGATCAGCTGCACCAGCAATTGAGAGACAGGTGAGTCGTCTCGACTCTTCAGCGCCTGACGAGGAAACCCTAAATGGGTGGGGATCGGGGGAATCCAAACTGCTCTCTGGAGAGGAGGAAACAATACCAGTCGAGCTGGAAATAGCTAGGCTTGTTCGGAAAGCTCTCCGGGCTTCAATCTGTAGAGGGGCCAAACTGGTTGATGTCTCAGGGATCAAATCATCTCCATTGCCACTGGCAGCTTTAGCTGAAATCTTTGTGAAGGGTTCAAGAGGTAGATCTGCTGGGAGTCGGATACGCTTGCTTGCTCGCCTTCTATTATTATTGTCAGGCCTTGGGATCATTTGGCGGCCACTGCTGCCAAAGCTGCTGTCTGTTTCTAGCCCCAAAGGAGCATCCTTTCTCACCACAGGCTGCAGGATTTTGGACTTCTTTCTCGCCTCCGCAGCAACCTTTGAGACCTCTTCAGCATTCAAGCGTGCTAATGTCCATGGACTGATCTTTACCGCTGCAGGGTTCTTTTTCTTGATTGGCTCCTCTCCTACCGTCTTTTTGCTTAATGAGCTAACAGATGCAGTGTCTGGAGGAACTACGTCAAACTGGAATATAACCAGATATTGTACCAACATCAAAACAAAACCAACACATTAAAGTTCATCATCTACAAAAGTTGATACCAGAAATGGAAAGTGCTAAAGTTAATCTACAATTTGTCATTTCAATGAGCAGTGAAATGTCTGTCCCCAAACAAAATTGCTGCAGAGTAGTACATACACAGCTGTCATTTTGCCAAACATGAGGTATCTAGTAACTCACCTGTTTCACTTCAGTGATGAAGTGACTACAGAGTTCTTGATATCCTTTCCGATTGGCAAAATGGCAACTGGCTCACAATTGCAGGGGAGCCAAACACAATTTTATGACCTCTATTCCTGAAGGGTAAGGGGACTTTAGACGGTCACAAAAACGTGGTGATCCCTTCCCAATTTAAGTTTTTGAAAGCTATTTGGATTGAAAATATTTTTCTTGAATCATTTAAAATATAAACTCAGTGGCTATCAAAGAAAAAAAAAATCCCTTTTTCTCTCGAAAACAACAGAAAGATAATAGTACTACTGTTAATTTATTGTCACCGGTGATTGGAGCAAATTGGCACAGGAAAATTGGAGTTCAAATTATATCGAAATCTCATTGAATAATTCCACTAACATATGCTTTCTAACACTTTAAGGATGTGGCAGTAGATAAGTCCCACTAACATATCTTGCACACCAGCGTTAAGATGATTAGACGGCTGTAACCAGTGCAAACTATTTATGTCAAAGACAGTCAAACGATAAATGTGGAGTAAACAGAGTGCTGAACTATAGAGCCCACTATTTGTTTAATGTTTGACCTGTAATCTTAGCCGACAAATCAAAAGAATTGTCTTGGAGTAAGCACCGAACGAAAGATATCTATGATTCAAAGAGTTAATCAAATCTTTCCTATAGGAAGAATGCAGTCAATCATACCTGCTCCTCAAGAAAGAGGCGTGGGGGTGTGCACCATGCACCTCGGTGGAAAGTATTAAAAGAGCTTGCGCTGCTTAACCCAGTAAGGGAGCTAGCAGGAGACATCTGGGAACTTTGCTGACCTCCAACTCCTTGTTGCTCTTGCTCCCTCAATGCTATGATATAATCATATGTGCTGATTCCCTGCACAGAAAAACATTCATGTTATTGTCTTATTGACTGCTTAACATATTTATAACTTTTTTCCTGATGGGTTTACCAACCTCAAGTACGGTATCCTAAAGAAAATAAATAAATAAATATTGGAAAAGAAGTAAAAATGCAAAAGCATCATTGAGTCATTGACACAATCCACACGATTAGGAGCAAAAAGCTATTTCCAAGGTTACCTTTTTTATGAGAAGTATGTGAAAGAAGAAAAGCTGAGCAAGTGGCAGGGTAGCGATCATGGCTAAAATGGTGCACACTGCCTGTCATAATGCAAAAGTTACATTTTGTTAGTTACAACTAGGAGCAGAATGGGGAAACCTCTCAACAGATAATAACAACTCAATTTGAAAGAAAAGGAAAAGAATATAGAACGCACCACCACTATAACAAAGGGCACTACAGAGAAACTGCTTCCTAACTTGGAGGCGATGTCCACAGAGAATCTCTTGTGCTCAAGAAAGCAGCAGATCAGTACAAGGATTCCAGTTGACCACTGAAGCACAAGCTGCAATCTCAAGTCCAAGATGCACAAACCATGTATATACCTGTCAATAATCAATTAAAATGAAAAATGACTTGAAAATAAATTGCTTACTCGTTGAGATGGCCTTCAGGTTCTGCAATGTCATTGGAGGGTAGCAAATGCAGGTTAAGAAAATTTGACATAAAGGATAGTTGAAGAGTGTTTGGGAGCTAATCAAGAACCTATTGTGAGGACAGATAATGAAAGAGACGTTAAGGAAATTGAATGGCAGGTTGTGGCTACCTCAACTCGCCAAAGATTTTTTCCCTCTTTTACATGAATCCTAATTTTTCATTATGCAAGTTGGGCTACCTATCTTGGGAAAAACAATAAGTAGGTAAATAAATCTTGTTTTTTTTATTATAGTGGATGGCGGCAGGATACCAGTGCATGCGTGGGAAAAATGAAAATATCTATGTAATCACCCTGGAGCTATAAGATTTTGGAGAGTTCCAAAAAATTGTAATCGATAAATTATATAAGTAAGAATAATAAATAAACTAACTTAATAGGCTGCACTCTGTTCAGAATTCTAAATAACGAGCTTAGAATTTGTCTTAATGAGAGATTAAAGTTGTTTGTGCAAAGACAAGAGAGTTAGGATAGCGTGGATTCTGGAATTTGGGTAAGCTAAGACACTGTTGGACAGAAATACATACAAGGACTGGCAACCCACTACAAAGTCCGTGACAACCAGGCAAAGGATGGAGGACTATGCTTACCAAGAGAAGGGAAAAAACCATGAGGGTGAAAAACTGCCGATAGTTCTTTTTGCCTATACAATTGTTGAGCCACTACAAAACAAAAGATGAAAAAGGCATCAGAAGTATTGTCAAAGGATGAGGAAAATTCCCACCAAACCAAAGATCTAGAAGTACCCTGCAGTGATGATCAAAACGGTCAACGCATTTGTCACAAACTCTACAATGCTTGCTGTACTTGAAAACCTGCAAAAGAATAATCATTTAAACCACATAATCCACTAACCTCATCATATGAAAACCCATAAATAAATATTAGGGTGGCAACTAGATAAATGTGTAATCAAGTGAGTTTGAAGACAATAACTAAATGATCATGTGAAATGAAGGAATATCTTTGGTGGAACCTATAAAATGGCACAACCAGCTTTTAAAGATGACAATAATATGTCCAATCTTCATTTACAACCTGGTCTTAAAGAAGAATTCCAATATAGATATATGTAAATATAAGTACTTAGTCTTCCATAAGATGAAACAAGAACTAACATTTCAATAACATTTTTTAAAAAACATAAACATCACTCTTGATGGGAGATGCATCACACACCTCTACTTCACATAGACTACAGTAGAACATGCCTTCTTCGCTCATTTGTTGCTCAGAAGATTCTTCGTGAGGAATTGAGCAGTTGCACATAAAGGCACAAGGAAATAATGCTAAAACAGCCATAAAACAAGATGAACGATGAGTTGATGCATTCTTCTTTTCAATTTCAGTGGTATAATCTTCCGTTGTCGTATCCATGTCCTTCGTGCCTCTGTCCAGATGTTTCCCTCCAATTGTTGGAGCATTTGCATCTTGTATTGATGAAGTTGATTCCCCACCAAATTTATGTTTCTTGAATTGAGTATGCTTTTTGGTATCCGGGATGTTAAGATACTTTTTGGACTTGAAGACTCCTGTATCTGCAGGATCAGCTGCCGCACACCAAATATATAGACTGAAGACACATATTATCTGCGAAGAGAACATGTGGAAGTTCCACTAAGATAAGACAACATATTCATAATGGAAGAAAATTCAAGTAATACAGAAAGGAAAAAGGGAGTGTTGCGCGTTCATATTCATCACAAAATCTGAACGGTATTATGTGACATGCAAAGAAGACTAAACCTGACCTATCTAGTATTGTACATAGATATAGATTTCAGATATCACATATCCTCACTAGGGTATCTAAAATATTAATATATGTGTGTGTCATTAAAACATAAGTTAATCATTCTTTTAAAAAAAAAAAAACCCATAGAGAGATTAAATATATACCCATTTTGCCATTAATTTTATATCTTCAATCAAAATTATTACAAGGAGAAATTCACAGACAACATATATTTGGGACCTATACGAAATAGGCAACTGTCTGTTTGATTTCTGCAGGCCAGGGAAATTTTGTTGCCAAAAGAAATATAATCAGAGAAATTCTCTACTGTAATTGTTACCACGCAACTAGAATAACACATTCATATATCAAAATTCACAAAAAGTAAACCCCAATAAAGTGAAAGATAACAACTAGTTTAGCAAGGAAACCTGAAATAAACATAAATAAGCTACCCACTTACCCGCATCCCTACAAATATAGATGATATAAAGGCAAAAGCAGCATAATAACTTCTACCAATTAGCATCAAAAGCAAACAACTTTCAGTTTTAAAAATTTTGTTACCTCATGGTAGAATTCCAAAAATTAAGTTGCAGTCACATACACCTAAGAGAGAGATTTTCAACGAATTACTCTACTCGCTAGTGACTTAGGAGTTGCAACAAGAGAAAATAATTAGGACCACATGATAGACAATTTAAAGTAAAGATGTTTATATTCAAAAGAAGGAATCAAGTGCAGTTAGAAAGGTTATCCCCATACAGCGCGCATGTTTTGATCGAAAAAAATATATATACATATGGTGAAATGAACAAGCGTCACTATAGTATTGCATTCCCTCTGTGTATGTGATATATTTAATTTAAAAATAAGTTAAGTGTTAAAGATACAACAGGGAACTTCACTATATTTTTTTTATCTGTTTCAATGAATTGACAAGCATTTTCTATTTCAGTTAGTAATAGTTTGTGCATGTTACAGAAACAAATGATGATTTATCATCCATGACACCACTATAACTCTTCTAGATTCTAGAGATGTAACTGCGCACCTCAAATATTATATTCTAGATCTATTACAACTGAAAAACTAAACAAGCAATAGAGATTCAATATGTAGTTAATGCCTGCATCAAGGCAGAATTCAGTTCAAGTTTCTCTTCGTCTCGCAATGTTGCAAGGATTTTTCTATTTTCCTTCAAAGAGTAGGCTTTTTATACTGGTATGACACAATTTTTCGATTAATAAGTTGTTCAAATCGTGTCACATTTTGCAAATCCCAAAACATAAACAATAGAACAGTAAGGAACACCTTCGACTGGTGTGAAGATATAGCATTAAACAGTGATTTGACAAGCTTTTGGAATTAGCATAAACAAAAAAGTAAAGCCAAGCTCTTCTATTCATTCAACCCAATACCTATCTAATTGGTCAGCACAACAATTTTTTCACCAAGCCATAAGATCTTTAACGAGATTTGGCTAAATTCATACATCCACAGAATGAGATTATTCATGTCTGTAAAGGTTTGCGGCGATGATAACAGATATTACAGATAATTCCAACGTCTTGACAGTGGACACAGAATCAGGATGTAGTAATAGAAAAGACTTAAAAGAGCAAAGCTTAATATTTTGCCAGAAAAGCAGCACAAAATCTAATCTTTCAAAGGATCAAATTGAAGTGGAGTGTGTGCCAAATTAGTGGGTTGAAGGGTTATGGAACAAAATGCCAAAAGACAAGTAACCCATTTGCCTTCACCGGCCAAAAGGACTAGCTGCTGAAACGGAAAGGCAAAAGAACCCATTTTAGATAAGAAGATCAAATGTACAGAAGCCACAGATAGGAACAAGCAGAGAAAATATAGATCTCATTACTTAACCCAAAAAAAAAAAAAAAATTAATAATAATAAAAGATATCATATATAAGGCGGTAAATGATGAGGAAAAAATAATGAGTAATGACTCACAAGAGGAGTGTAGAGCCCCATCACAATATACTGAATAAATTTTTTCCCAACAAAAGGGGCAAAGAAAACATAGAAAGCAAACCCCAATGCCAGAAATACAGCAACAGCTACCACCTGCACAGATGGGTATAAACACCCAAATCCAGTATAAAAAATTTAAAATCTAGCTAGGAAAAAAAAATTAAAATCTTATATAGTGTGTGAATAAACATATGCAGATGTTTCCAGAGAGAGAAAAAAATATACCTGAAGAGGATGGTGGGGAAGCTGCCATCCATGCTTTCTCATTTTCTGATTGAGTGTTGCAGCAAGAGGGAAAAACAAATTGCAACAATATGTATGGGGCAAGAAGGGTGGGAATGCCTTGGTCTACTTTCTCTATTCTTCTTGGATTTGTTATTTTGCTTCGCTTTCCCTCATTTTCAGGGAAAATTTGGGATCACTAATCCACTGTTGAATCAAGCCCAATCGAGGTCGCTCATCCACTTTCCATGAGTCCTATCAGTGAGGGAAAATGTAGAGGAAAAAGGAGAAAAGGCATAAAAAAAGAGCTAAAGGAGGTGAGAGAAGATATGAGTGATGTTGGGTAGTGGAAGATGAGGGATGGACAATTCTTACAACTTACAAGCTTTGTCTGCTTCACTCAATCATAAGCCCACTAGGTCGCGGAAGGTCACAAGAGAGAAAATAATGGATTTTGGTTGAAAACGTGAAATGGGTTTTTGGTTTTTCTCTAATTTCTTGCAAGCAAAAGCCATTTACATGGACAAAGATCTGTAATCTAGAGAGAGAGAGGTCTGGTTACTGTTTGGACTGGTTTTACTTTTGGAGTCTATAATTACCTTCCAACCCAGCTTTTACTTTTTTCTTGTTTCTAGGGTTTTTACCTTTTTCCATGGCCAAATCATATGTCACGGGCCAGAGAAACTGAACAGCCAGTTGTTTCGTTCTACTTTCTGTAATTTTCTAACCACCCTCTTTAAAGCTTTTTTAAACTTCTACCCTTCTGTCATGTCTCTCTCATCTCTATATTGTGCCTTTTCCAATAGCTACAGAGCTATATCATCGTCCAAAGGTGGGTTTAATTTGTTGTGTAGATAGGAAAAACACAGTGAGGAGGAACATTTTGAACGTATGGACCCCAAACTCCACATGGTGTTCAAGGTCAATTTTTTGTTTTCCTTTTAAGCTTTAACGTCCACCATATGAGGATGGCATGTTTGTAGTAAACACGTGGTAGATTCATCATGTAATTTTTATAGATAGGTTGCATAACCCTTTTAGTAAGATGGTCTAATTAAGTCACCTTGTTTGTCAATCATTTTCAAATTAAAATCCAATTCTCTTGTCCCTTGCTTGAAATGCTACCCTTATTGAAATGGGTAGTTGATGCCTATAAGGTGATGAAGTTGGGGTTTAGTAGGTATGCCATGTGCCTAGAGACAATGCCTATATAACCTCTGAATGGGTTTTAAGCTTCTTCTTTTTTATTTTTTAAATATTTTTCAAGAAGAACAATGTAACTATGTATTTTAAATAGAGTGATGTTCATCAATGGCTGCTAATGAATCTACTCGAACTTAGTTAAACTTTAGTCAATTTGGGATTTACTCGAAATAGAAAAGCTAAAACTCGTTATTATTTTGAAAAATTCAAACTCAATTTATTTAATAATAGAAATAGTTGGTTCAGAACTCTAATAACCAATTAATAATAAATTAAAACGGAAAGACTTCATTGTTTTCTTTCACCATCCAAAGGTTAAACCATGATTTGAGAGGCTCTCGATCGATCAAGTATCATTCGGGACTTTTCGAGACTCGATCAATCGAGTGCGGAATCAAAAGTCTCAAACTTCTGATCTAAATCGTTTTAATTTGTTCGTAAGTTTATAAGAGTGTACACAAATCCATGTTCATCAATATAAATTCACAATGTTTATAAACATGTTTACCAACGTATATAAGTTTATGTTCATGATCTATTAAGAGTGTATACAAATTTATATTCATGAGTCAAACCTAATATTGTTCAACATGGACTAATTTATGAAACGAAGTATACTTAGAGACTCAGAGTACATGCTATTGCTTGAGTGGCCCAAAAGTATTTCCTTTAATGTATAATGTTTGATATAAAATAATTGAGTAAAGCATTAATGTCACAGAATATACACCTCCTCCATTAAATTTGGAACAATATGGTATTTTCATTTAGTTATTGGTTGAAAAAATATGATAATTTATGAACAGAATGGGTATATTCTTATATTAAATTTTCACTCAATGTTAAAATACGAATTAAAGCCAATTTAATAGTTGAACAAGCAACTAGAATGAAAGTGTTAATAATTGAAAGAAAATTAAATACAAATAAACTAGAGAAAGGAAAGATAGAAATACAAAAGTATAACTCATTTGATAGGTATAATTCAACAACGAAAATTCAAATTTTATTAGAGAGATGTCCATCTAAGGTAGACTAATGTCACGAAATGATTCCTAAGACGCTTGGAGTATAGAAGACACGCATGTTGGTTGGCAAAGAATAGAGTTTGATTGGGAATAGTTCCAGGGAAGGGGTGTGCAGAAGCACAGGATGGTATCTCTTCAGAATTCAGACAGGTCGACTCAGTTGAGTGCAAGGAGTTTGTCGCTGGTCGTGGACTTGACTATGAAGAAGGGAGTTGGCTATCCCTGCATAAACTGGTCGGGAGCTGGAGCCGTTCCCCTGACGAAGCCAAGGCAGGCCGAAACCAGTCAGCATGTATCCTTAGGAGGGCAAGTTGTGGTGGCTGACCAGGGCGCTTACGCGAGTTGAAGCAACGCCTTGGTGCCGCACGGGCCGTGCCGCTGCGTTAAATCTCTAGGCCCGTGACAAATGGTAACAGAGCAGAACTTGGGGCAAAGCACGGTGAGGTGCCCCTTTGTCGATCCGGGAGGGGTCTGAGAATGAAGACGGTGCACTGAAGTTACGTCGATGAGGATGAATCAATGCAATTAGGGGGAGAGCCTCCATCTCCCCAGGCATCCGTTGAAGTTGCGCACAGGAGGGCCGGAGGGCCACGCGCACCAAAGTTCGTGCAAGCTCCTTGGGTGATGTAAACCATGGAGAAGTGCGGGCATCAAGTCGGCAGGAGGCCCTTGCTTGCTCGGGATGTCGCGGAGGCGACATGACGGAGAAAAGTCATGTCCTTGATAAGTGGACATCCCCTTGGTCCGAGGCCTATCATTGGGCGAGTGCAATGCAGGGAGCTACACAAGGAAGCGATGGTGGGAAGGCGAGCATACCGCTTGGAGGCAGACTTTGGAAGGGAGTGGATGCAGTAGTGAAGTGCCGCACTACGACGAGGGCGTCGCAGGATTTGGGTGGGAGAGTGTCACGAAGTGATTCCTACGACGCTTAGAGTATGGAAGACACACATGCTAGTTGACAAAGAGCAGAGTTTGACTGGGAATGGTTCTAGGGAAGGGGCGTGCAGGAGCACAGGATGGTACCTCTTCAGAGTTCAGGCAGGTCGACTCGGTTGAGTGCAAGAAGCTTGTCGCTGGTCGTGGACTTGACTATAAAGAAGGGAATTAGTCATCCCTGCACAAACTGATCGGGAGCTGGAGCCGTTCCCCTGACGAGGCCAAGGCAGGCCGAAACCAGTCAGCATGTATCCTTGGGAGAGCAGGTCATGGTGGCTAATTAAGGCGCTTGCGCGAGTTAAAGCAACGCCTTAGTGCCGCACGGGTTGTGCCGCTGCGCCAAATCTCTAGGCCCGTGACACTAAGCTTCTTACTAGATCTCAACTCCTTGATTGGTTTTTTTAAAATTTACCTTTGTCATGTTTAAAGATTTGATAAAGAGTGTTTAATAACTATATTTTTTTATAACAGAAAACATTTTGATAAACATTTACCTACCAAGTGACGAGTTTGATGATTAATCACTATCTATTTATAGACAAACATGTTAAATAAACGACTATGATTCATTTTAATAATACAACTAAAATGAACTCTCTAAAATGATCCTACAAAATATTTAGAAATTTTAAACTCCATAATAATCTAAAACATTGCCAAAAGAAAATAATAATAATCTAAAAAAATCTATCATAATATATTAAATACTCCACAAATATGTTACATATTTTAGAAAATTTCATTATCCCCTAATTATCTCTACACAGTTACAAAAATCTATAAACTAATAGAATCGACAATTCCATTTAGACACCAGGTAACTATTCAGATACATGTGACACACTTTTATGGCATAGTACGAAATGTTGACCATAATATACCTTTTGCAATAAAAAAAAACGACCTTTCGTTTTGCTTTTTCTGGTTTAGAAATGATTCAAAGAACCATGTTGCCTTTTTCTTCTAAATGACATGCTAGTACATAAGTAAACATTTGCGATGTCACAATATATATACACACACACACACTCATGTATTGATAGATATGAAGTCTATTTAAGTATGATTAAATGACCTTTGGTGATTGTATAGTACATTGATAAAGTGATAACATTACTATACGTTCTATACCACAAACAGATTGATTTGTATCTCTTTGGATTGGTCAAGTTGTGCTTTTTTTTAATTTAAAAAATAAAAAGGTAAAGTCAGTCAAACACTAATATAAAAAAAATTAATCCACTCACTAGTTACCATGTACAAAAGAACAAATGAAGCACATATTACAAGAGGAAAAAGACAAGAAGTTACATAGAGGAGAGTGACAAAACATTGAAGATCGGCTGGGGATTTTGGGTGTATGTTTTGTAACATGTAGAGACAGAGACTCGATTTTGGGGTTGCATTGCTGTTTTCTCATACGCTGTGAAGATGCATCTTTGGCATCTTCTTGTCAGTCATACATGGTGGATTTCGAGTTGTGTTACCCTACTAGTATATAAAATTCAAACATCCACCAATTCACATGCATAGCGTTCGGAACAAAAAATTATTACGTAATTTAAAATTATATCCTGATTAATTACAATTCGACGTATAATTAAAAATTTAAATATAATTAATACGTAATATATTTATTGCATTTCGAAAGTTGTGTGGGGTTTGATGAGAACATTATTATCATAAACCATGTAAATTTATTATCCAAGTCACTATCACTTCTTATTCTTATTTATTATGACCTTTGATACTTTTTTGAAATCCAACAACTGCCTATCTCTGTATTGTTCATTCATAGATATAGAGTATAAGGTAAGAATGATTACCGTTTTGACTTGCAATTTGTCAGTTGTCAAATTGATATGCCAGTCAATTATTTTAAATTGTTATCTTTTATTTGAAAAATTATTAGAAAGTCATAAACTAGAGTGCTAGACCAATTAAGTCACCTTTTCATTACCCTAATCGATTTAATCATAAATTTTCAATTTAAAAAAATTTCGTTCAAATTTGATAAGATATTACCAATATATATACATATATATCTGAACCTTAGCTTTAATTGAACTGATCACCATACATGATTGAAGGATATTTAATAGGTCACTTGTCAAAGAGGTAGTACAGCGTATGTTTATGGGCAGGATGTTATTCTTATCCACATGCTACACATGAATATATTGTTTTTAATTCTATCTTTGGCAATGTAATTACGAGCAAACATTTTGATGCTTCATGTAGGGTGATAAATTATGACATGATTGTCAATACGACTCTAATATGATACAAAATAAATGAATTTGGATTGATCTTAAATAAGTTCGGGTTATAAACGGATTGACACGATTAACCCGTTTACTTAACCGTGTCGGGTTATGATTGAAAAATTCAACCCGTGTAACTCGTTTATAACCGTTTAACTCAACATGTTATAATTATGAATATAACATATATAAACGCTTTGGGTTAATTGTGACAAACTTTTTTATTATTTAATATTTGATTAAATATTAAGTGTCTCGTTTTGATAAACTGGTT